CAACTGCTGCTGCCGCCCTTGCCTTGCTGTAGAGGCTACTGCCGCTACAGCCCCTGCTGCTGCCGCTACAGCCCTTGCTGCTGCCGCTACAGCCCCTGCTGCTGTCGCTACAGCCCTTGCTGCTGCCGCTACAGCCCCTGCTGCTGCCGCTTCAGCCCTTGCTGCTGCCGCTACAGCCCTTGCTATTGCCGCTACAGCCCTTGCTGCTGCTGCTACAGCCCTTGCTGCTGCCGCTACAGCCCTTGCTGTTGCCGCTACAGCCCTTGCTGCTGCCGCTACAGCCCTTGCTGTTGCCGCTACAGCCCTTGCTGCTGCAGCTACAGCCCTTGCTGCTGCCGCTACAGCCCCTGCTGCTGCCGCTACAGCCCTTGCTGCTGCCGCTACAGCCCTTGCTGCGGCCGCTACAGACCTTGCTGTTGCCGCTACAGCCCTTGCTGCTGCCGCTACAGCCCTTGCTATTGCCGCTACAGCCCTTGCTGCTGCCGCTACAGCCCTTGCTGCGGCCGCTACAGCCCTTGCTATTGCCGTTACAGCCCTTGCTGCTGCCACTTCAGCCTTTGCTGCTGCAGCTACAGCCCTTGCTGTTGCCGCTACAGCCCTTCCTGCTGCCCTGCGTGCCTCGTGCACCCTGCTGTCCTGCGCGCCCCGCGCGCCCTGCTGCCCTGCTGCCCTGTGCGCCCCGCGCGCCCTGCAGCCCTGCGCGCCACGCGCGCCCTGCTGTCCTGCGCGCCCCGCGCGCCCTGAAGCCCTGCGCGCCACGTGTGCCCTGCTGTCTTGTGCGCCCCGTGAGCCCTGCTGCCGTCTGCACGCGCATCTGCAGCCCCATGCACAGCCCCTACCCTGCCCCCCTCCCCCCCCTTCTCCTCCCTCTCCCTGCTGCACGTGCAGCAGTTGGGGTGGGGGGGGGGGGAGGGGAGGGGAGGGTGTGAGGGGGAGGTTGCACCTACAGCGCCAGCCTGCCTCCTCTATCTCCCAGCCGCACCTGCTGCTGTGGGGGGGAGTGTGAATTGGTGGGGAGGCTCAGGGGATGTGGGTGGTGGTGTGAGTCCAGCTGCAGCATCAGCCACCTCCCCCCACCTCCTCTCCTCTCATGGTCCCTCCTCCTCCTCACTTGCTCTCTCCTTCTTCCGCTGCGCAAGGTGTACCCCTTCAGGGGGTGTTCTGCACATGGCTATTCCTGCATGCAGTTAGGGGGTGTGTCATAATTATATTTTATATATATTTCTGTATAACTGCATATAGTTATAGCTGTAGTGTAGTTATTGATATAGTCCCTGTAGGTGGTGCACCCTTTGCCATCTCTCACCCCTATATCTTGTACTTTCTTCTCTTTGTGAAACATCATTTTCCTTCTCAATTTTTCTCTCGAAACTTGCCTAGATTTCACCCTAGCTATCACTACTATGATTCTAACAGGGAGGGGACGGGGAGGCGACAGGGAAGGGACAGGGAGGGTACGGGGGAGAGTATGGGGGGCGACAGGGATGGGACGGGGAGGCGACGGGAAAGGGACGGGGAGGGGACGAGGAGGCGACGGGAAGGTGGTGGGGAGGGGACGGGGAGGCGACGGAGAAGGGACGGGGAGGGTACGGGGGAGGGTACGGGGGAGGGTACGGGGGGCGACAGGGATGGGATGGGGAGGCGACGAGAAAGGGACGGGGAGGGTACGAAGGGTAGGTACGAGGGAGGCGACGGGGACGCGGCGGGCTGGCGCTGACGGTGGTTGTTGGCGATGGCGCTCGCGCTAGCGACCGTTGCTGGCGCATTCGCGAACGCGCTGGCGGGTCGCTGGCGCTCGCCATAGTGTCCGCCACGACCGTCGCCCTGAGCGCCGCGACAAGGGAGGCGACGGGAAGGCGACAAGGGAGGCGACGGGAAGGCGACAAGGGGCAGCGCGGCGGGTTCAGCATAAGCACCGGAAACAGCAGCGGATTTCGCGCCAGCAGCACAATGGGCCGCCATGACACATGGCGGATTTGGTGGGCCCATGGAGAATAGGTCCTAGAAAACAACACACTCTGATAACATGTCACAATAGTAGCTTAACTAGGAACTGGGGTTGACTAAGGACCTAGGCTTAGTAGCCTAGGCCAAGCGGGTGTCGAGATAGTTGTGCAAGAGAGAATTGAGAATGAGGGGCTTCACTATAGGTTTGCAAGAACATATAGCAAAGAAACAAGAGAAGGTACACCACCAAACAAGTAATGACGGAACTACACTACACTAACTACAAGCACTTATATAAACTATGTAAAAACATAGTTTGACATGCCCCCATAACTGCTTGCAGGAAGAAGTGCAGTAACGCCCCTGAAGGGATGCACCAAGGCGCAGCAGAAGACAGCAGAGAGGTAAGTGAGGAGGAGGAGGCGAGAGATAGAGAGGAGGGGAGAGGAGATCAGAACGAAGGAGGAGGTGAGTGAGAGGGATGAGGAGAGAAGGTGGGCGGCGTGCATGAGTCTTTCTTCTCACTGCCGGCGATCCCTCTTACTAACCCCCTTTTACGAAGGGGGGGGGGGGGGGGGGGGGGGGGGGGGTGAGAGGGGGATGAGGAGAGGAGGTGGGGGGGCGTGCATGAGCCTGACTGCTCGATGCCGGCGATCCCCTCTTACTAACCCCCACATCCCACCCCCAATCAACCACCACCCTCAACCTCACCCCCCCTTATCAGCCACCCCCTTGTATCTCACCCCCTCCCCCCTTTCCTTCCTCCAGCCCCTGTCCCACCCACAGTAGTCCCTGCACAAATCTGCACACGGCAGCCAGCCCCCTCTCCATCACCCCCCGTCCCCGCCTTCTCCCCCACACAGCAGCAGCCGCGTGAAGGGAGAGGCAGGGCAGAGGGTGGGGCTGTAGGGGCTCACGGCGGCCACCCCCACCACGCCACCTCCCCCCTCACTGCCGCATTCGCGGAAGGGAAGGCGACGAGGAGGGGACGGGGAGGCGACAGGGAGGGGACGAGGACGCGACGGGGGAGGGATGGGGAGGGTATGGAGGGCGACGGGGATGGGACGGGGAGACAACGGGAAAGGGAAGGGGAGGGGACGAGGAGGCGACGGGAAGGTGGTGGGGAGGGGACTGGGAGGCGATGGGGGATGGACGGGGAGGGTACGGGGGAGGGTACGAGGAGGCAACAGGGAAGGGACGGGGAGGGTACGGGGGAGGGTACGGGGGGCGACAGGGATGGGACGGGGAGGCGATGGGAAAGGGACGGAGAGGGGACGAGGAGGCGACGGGGAAGGGACGGGGAGGGTACGGGGGATGGTACGGGGGGCGACAGGGATGGGACGGGGAGGCAACGGGAAAGGGACGGGGAGGGGACGGGGAGGCGACAGGGGAGAAGATGGGGACACGGCGGGCTGGCGCTGACGGCAATTGTTGGCGGGTCCGACGGCGGGTCCGTGGGCTCGCTTGAAGGCGGGTTTGCAGGTCCGCTGGCTCGCTTGCTAACGGGTCCGCGGACTTGCTTGCTGATGGGTCCGCGGATCCGCTGGCTCTAAAGCTGGCGGGTCCGCGGGTGAACTGGGACAGGGGTCGCGACGAGCAGGACGTAGGGCCGTAACGGTGGGGCGAGACGAGCTCCCTCGCGCAGCCCGTCGTCGATAGCGCAGCAGCAGCGGGACATCGAGCCAGTGGGGCGACGGGCAAGCGACGGGCGAGCGACGGGCGGGGCCAGCGATGTGCGCAACGGGCTGCACAACGGCCTAATCGACGGGGCGCGCCATAGCAACAGCTGGTAGTGGGCCCATTGACTTAGGTGTAGTATCTTAGCTAGGTTTAACTAGTGCCTAGCCTAAGAAGCCTAGGCAAGGGTATCGAGATGGTTGTTTGCAAGGGAGGTGTCGAGAATGGTTGTGTTCACTAACCAAGGAAGACACAGGGGAGGGTGCGAGCCGAGAGCTTGTCCGCAGGGGTATCGCAGACAAGCGCAAGGTAGCCCCAGCCACGAAAATTCGACGCGACACCAGGGGACCCAGTCTAGAGACAGGTCGGTGAAACCTCTGGGCGAGAGACACGCGGCCAGAGGTTCAGCTGGTGGGCGGCGTAGCGAACCGTGTAGGACCACAGAAAATGGGGCGCATGGGCATGGATCATGGAGGTGCGGACGATCTCCATGACCAAGCCTATGCGGCACTCACCAACCCCATTCTGCTGTGGGGACTCCAGAAGCGTCCAAGACTAGGTGATGCCTTGCTCGCGACAGAAACCGGCAAGCACGCCGGAGCGAAACTCACCCTCACGGTCGGAGTGGAGACAAAGGACATGAATACCTCGCTGAGCACTGGTGGCCAGCAACCATGGGATCAGGATAGAAGTCATGTCGGACTTTCGCCGCAGGGGGAACACCGTGGTATAGCGGTTGTAGTAATCAATGACCACCAGGAAGTAGCTCTCCCCCCCGGACCCAAGGCGAGGGGCGGGGCCCCAGCCGTCCAACTGAAGGGTCTGGAGGGGCGCGGAGGCCAGATGAAGGGAGGAGTGAGGGGTGGCACGCAGCTGACCCTCGACGCAAGGAGTGCATAGTGTCGCTAGAGGAGGGAGCGCCTGAAACAAGGGCGGAAGATCTGAGACAAGACGGAGGCTAGACATGAGACGGAGGCGTAGGAGGGACGGGTGACCAAGACGATGGTGCCACATGACTGTCTTGTGGGTGAGCGCCCGACAGCAGCACGAGGCAGTAACGTGACCAGACGCAGCTACCTGGGGAGATGCAGTGTTCAGTGTGAAGAGACCTGAGCGGGGCTCCCGGTGAAACATGGCCAGAGGAGCCCCAGTGGCACCGTCCGTGCAAGTCGTAAAACGCTCGGGCAGAGGAAAGAAGGTGCCGGCACTGAGGTCCTGAAGGTGTCCAACACCCACCAAGTTCCTGGAGTACAAGGGGATGTGGAGACCAGTGAGGGAACCAGAGGGGACAGTGTCAAAATATATTTATATCTATTTAATACATCTGCCTGTAGTGTAACTTTAGCGTAGTTCTTTTGTAGGTGGTGCACCTCGTTCGTTGTTGCTTTGCTATATGTACCTTGTGTTCTATAGTGAAGTCAACCATTTCGTCATTCTCCTTGGCCATAACTTCCTCGACATCCTTGGCCTAGGCTCTAAGCCTAGGCCCCAACCTAAACCTTAGGTTACTACTTTAACAGACAGCCGGGCATGGGAGGGTGGTAGAGCTACGAGCGACTACTGGTCCTGAAGTAGGATCAGCCAGGGCAAGCGAGACTGGAGCAGGAAGCAGTGTAACAGTGATGTGGTCGTGGAAGAAACACTTGGATGCGCCAGAGTCCAGCGTGAAGGAGAGCGACGCGTCAGCCGTGGGTACGAATGGGCTAGTAACTACACAAGCACCGAGACTAGAAACACAAGTACCTACACTAGCAACAGGCAAGGATCCTAGTCTAGGAACACGCGAGCAAACAGATCCATCAGCACTATAGTCAACATCGGCATACATGACATAAGTACTAGCCTCATCCATGGTCAGATCAAAGACATTAATCTTACGAGCAAGCAGCGTCGCCCCGCGCGGGGTGCGTGCCTCAAAGCCATGTCGCCGATGGAAGATGTCGTCGAGCCGGCAGAAGCAGCGCGATGCATAGTGGTCGGAGTGTCCGCAGGAAGCGGGACTGCTCAGACCCGTCCGGATCCAGTAGTCGCAGGGGCCAATGTCGCGGCCAGTGGGACGAGGCCCCCAGCTGGCGGGGCTGCTGCTGCGGCCAGCGCTCTCCGGACCACCAGGTCCCCACTGCTGCGGAGAGCCCCACTTCGGCGGAGGACCCCACTGCTGGAACTGCTGCTGCACCCGCCGCTGCACTTGCTACAACGGCTGTCCCTGCTGCTGTGGCTGTCCCTGCTGTGGCAGCTGCTTGTCCTGTGCTCCAGCCCCACCTCCAGGGCCAGCACCTCCTCCCGTGGGGCGTACGAAATAGACAGAGGTTGTGGGAGTGAACAGGTGTAGCTCATCTACTAGTACTTGTTGGTGCAACCCTACGGTTTGCACTCAGCTTGTTGTCCGTGTGCATGCATGCGTGTGTGCATGGAATGGTATGAGGGCATGGGATAATATATATTTCATGCTTATAATAGTGTGTGAATGATGAGTCATGATGTTGAATGTGTGTGTCGAGTCAATAGCGAGTTATCGCTAGTCGCGTGTCAAACGGTCGTTTGTGTCCCATGCGCAATTTCTATTTTGTCGTGTGTCTTGTGCACGGTTTCTATTCTGTCGTGTGTGGAACGTTTGGCGTGTCGCAGGTGTGTGCAGAAGACCCATCAAGAACTCAAGGATGAGTTTATGGTGAAGAACCAGAGCCTTGATTTCAAGATTCGAGTGATCGCGAAGCCCGCGAAAAAGGGTACACCTCAAGATATTGAGAATAGTTACATTACTTTGTGTAGTGTAACATTTCACTTGGTGTAGGCCCTTGTGAAGGGTAGTTTCGAGACCCTTGGTGGTTGGGGACAGTGTGGCACTATTCCACATCACTGTACCTCGGCTCTTGGGGTTTGTAGGAGCTGGGAGTCATTCCCAACTCCTAACACTTCCTCATTTGTGTTCTAAGACTATAGGCTGCCATAGTGCCGTTCGTTCAAACCGACGCGGTGTCGCCAATTCATAATGAAATCGTGCGATCTAAATTGCCTAAGGTAGGTGACGTTACGAAGCTCTAGATCCAATTTGAATCAGGTCATTTAGAGTTGTGATCAGATCGCTATGAACGTTTAAAGCCGCTGTGCAGAAATCCGACTGTGCACTCTATCTTTCGTTTTAGGCACATTCAAGCCTATTGTGACAATAACAGTACTACACTTATTCATTGCAGAGACGAAGCACGAAAGGAATGAGAACCAGCTTGTGAAAAACCAGGTATCAAAATAGCTTGTGATCCACCCTGAGTTGCATCTCTTGCTTGTTTCTTGTTCTTTCAGACTAGTCTTGTGACCATTGCTTGTTCTTGCTGACTGGTCCTGTGACCCTTGCTCTCAGACTGTGTGGTGACTTCGCGATCCACCCTGAGATATGTGTTACTTTCCACAGGACTACCATCACCTATATGGGGGTGTGTCAAACTATATTTTATTTAGTATATTTAGTTATAGTATAGGTGTTCCTGTTTTTCCCTAAGTTAGGTTTATATTCCCTTGTACTTTGACATTCTTGTTCATTCTTACGTTCTCATATTCTATCAGTGCGACCGGGCGGCGAGGTGCGGAACGACGGGGAGCAAGTGGGGCGCTGGTCTGGGTGCGGGTGGCGGGTGGCATACGGGCGACGGGTGGCAAAGTGCGTGGTGGCGGCGGGATACGTACGATGGCTCGTCGCGCACACCTGCTGCTTTCGCGCGCACTCGCTACCTCCTCTTCCCAGCTAATGAGCGGTCCTGCCTGTTCTCCATCCTTTCAGGGTGCTCTTGTCTTTGACTTAGAGGTCCTGGTGGACAGGCATTTCGAGCTGGAGTTCCTTGCGGCTGCTGTTCCTCATCTCTACGCCATGCTGCTTGCCCCTAAGGGGGATCCAGACGCCATTGACATCCCGATCCCTTGCACTCAGGCGGACGCTATCTCGAGACCTTGGGTCTCGTGCTAGATAGCAGCTGAGGAGGCAAAGATGGCATCTTATAGGTCTACAGGCACCTACGTCAACGCAGTCCCGCCACCTTGGACGAACGTCGTCTATGGCATGTGGATCTACAAGGCGAAGCAACCACATGGAGCACCACTGGTCTTCAAGGCGCGTTACGTGACGAGAGGCTTTACACAGCGCAAGGGAGTAGACTTCTTTCAGACTTTCTCCCCCACCCTGAAGATGGCCATGTCAGAATGTTATATTTGTCTAGCCTGTAGTGGGGTACTCAATAGTGAGTACAACCCAATTTAGGGTTTGCTATATGTACTCAACTGCCTGCTAGTGAAAACCCTCTTCTCTGTTTCATTCATTCGTTCACGATTCTGACATGGTATCAGAGCGGTCTCGGGTTCGAATCCCGGTGTATGCACATGTAGGCCGTTGCCGCTGTGCTCAGTCCTGGGCCTCCCAGTGTGGGGGGGTGTCAGTAGATCTGCACTGTAGATGCCCGATTGATCCCTACGGGGGGTTACAGGCGCGTTCGCCTGGGGGGTTATGGGCGCACAAACCTGCTACACAAAAAAAGCCCTTTTATCCCAATGGTCTAGTGGTTGGGATTCTGACATGGAATCAGAGCAGGTCGACCCTCACGGGTCGATCCTGTTCATGGGCCCACCGTTAGCTTCCGCTGCTGCTGCTGTCCTGCCTATCGCGCGCCTCGGGCGCGCGCTGTTTTCTTGCCTGCCGCGCACTCTGGGCGCGCGGCGGTTTTCTGCCCGTCGCGTCGCCCTGCTGGGCGCGTGGTGGTTTTCTGCGCCCCCGAGGACCTGCGCGTCGCCCCTCCATCGCCCATCGAAGCGCCCCCGAGGACCTGCATGTCGCCCCCCCTCCGTAGCCCGTCGCGGCGCCCTGGGGGGCCACGCGTCGCCCCCCCCCCCCCCCCCCCCCCCCCGTCGCCCGTCGCGGCGACCTGGGGGGCCGCGCGTCGCCCCCCCCATAGCCCGACGTGGCGCCCTAGGGGGCCACGCGTCGCCCCCCCCCCGTCGCCCGTTGCGGCGCCCTGGGGGGCCGCGCGTCGCCCCCCCCCCCCCCCCCCCCGTCGCCCGTCGAGGCGACCTGGGGGGCCGCGCGTCGCCCTCCCCGTCGCCTGTCGAGGCGACCTGGGGGGCCGCGCGTCTGCCCCTCCCGTCCTTCGTTGCGGCCCTGCCCTGCAGCCGCCCTGTCGCGGCCCTGCCCTGCTGCCGCCCCGGTCGCGTCTCTGCCTTCGCCTTTCGTCGCGGCCCTGCCCTGCTGCCGCCCCCATTGCGGCCCTGCCCTGTGTTGGGGTTTGGGGGTTGCGAGTATGGGGTGATGGGTGTGTGCGGCCTCCCCTGCTCCTCCTCCTCCTCTGTCTCCCACTGCTGCAGCTGCCGCTGAGGGGGGTGGGTGTGTGGGAGCCGACGGAGTGGTACTAGGGGGTGGCGTGTGAGCAGTGCTAGAGGTGCCGCAGGGGGTGTGTGAAAGGGGGGTGAGACAGTTAGAGGGAGGTTGGGCGGAGGCAAACGTCGTGTCGCCAGCAGCGCCAGTAGTCTGGAGGCTACAATCTCCGGTAGCCCAGCGAGCCTGCTGCGCCAGTCGCCTGTGGGTCCGTTGCTCCTGCCACTCAGAGTTAGCCGCGGAGCCAGTTACTCCAGTAGTCCGGAGGCTACAATCTCCGGTAGCCACAGTGCGCGCGGCTCCTGTTGCCCGTCTTTCTGCAGCTTCACCCGTCGTCTCCTATCTCCACTCCTCTCACAGTCCCTCCTCCTCCTCCTCACTTACCGTCTGTGACTGCCTCTAGCTTTGCTTATATTTGTGAACTATTGCTCTGCTTGCTTGTTGTGCTGATTACACCCCACTTTGGCTATGGGGGTGTGTCAGAATGTTGTATTTGTCTAGCCTGCAGTGGGGTACTCAATAGTGAGTACAACCCAATTTAGGGTTTGCTATATGTACTCAACTGCCTGCTAGTGGAAACCCTCTTCTCTGTTTCATTCATTCGTTCACTATTCTAACAGGCCACTCTTCGGGTGTTACTACACATTGCAGCACAGCGCGACTACGAGCTGCACTAACTGGAATTCTCCTTTGGGGGAGCCTGCACGAGCAGATCCGGCTGCATCGTCCACCTGGCTTCACTGGCACTTTCCCTCCTGGGACACAGTGGCAACTGCGTCAACTGATCTACGGCCTGCGCTAGGCTCCCCGCGAGCGGCACGATACTCTCCGTACGACACTAGCGTCACTTGGTTTCTTCCCGTCGTCTGCTGAGCCGTCAACCTTCGTCCGCCGCACTTCGACCCCATTCGTTATCCTGGTCTTCGTCGACAACTTGGGTTTTGCCACTCCCGACAGGTGCGCATTGGCCTGGGTGAAGGCTGAGCTGCAGCAGAGGCACACTTGCACAGACGTTGGTGAGTTGCAGCACTACCTTGGCCTGCATATCACAAAAAACAGAACTTCTCGCACCATTACGCTGACTCTGTCGTATATGGTGCAGTAGGTCCTCAAGTGGTTCAGCCTTCAGTTCTCCTCGCCATAGTCCACCCCTCTTGGTGTGGATCATAAGCTCACATCTCCACCTTCGGACGAGTCATTTGAGCCTAGTGGTCCATACCCACAATTGGTGGGTTGTCTTATGTACCTCATGACTTGCACTCGCCCAGACCTTACTTTTCCTCCCAGCATCCTGGCTCACTTTGTAGCGCCTGGGAGACACCGATCTGCTCACTGGTTGGCTGCTAAGAAGGTAGCGAAGTACATGGGGAGTACATCAGGCATTGGACTTGTACTTGGAGGACGCCAAACAGTTGCACTCACTGGACACTCGGACTCGTCATACGCTGACGACACTCAGACACTGCGGTCTACACAGGGGTACTGCTTCAGCCTTGGGACAGGTGCTGTTTTGTGGAAGTCGACTCGGGCGTCGTCCGTCTCTAGTTCCAGCTGTGAGGCAGAGGTGTACGCTGCGGCCATGGCCGCCCAGGAGCTCCGCTGGTTGTCTTTCCTTCTTACCGACCTTGGTGAGCAGCCTCGCTCTCCTCCTGTCCTGTTTGCTGACAACAGGTCTGCTATCATGTTGTGCGAGGATCCTCGACTAGTTGGGAAGGCGAAGCACATCCAACTTCGTTACTTCCTTCTGCGCGACTTGCAGCAGCGTGGCCAGGCCCGCATGGTCCAGGTGGCCTCGGAGGCCAACACAGCGGATATCTTCACAAAGGCGCTGCCGCCTTGTGATCACCACTGCTTCTGCACGTAGATTGGCCTTATGCCTGCAGGTTCTCACTTACTTTCGTAGAGATGCTTTGTCTCGTACTCTTGCATCTCTTCCTATATATATATGTGTATATATATGTATATACATATATATATTCCAGCATGTGGACTGGTCTTGTGGCCCTTGTTTGCTCTCAGACTGTGTGGTGACTTTGTGATCCACCAAGAGCTGCATCTCTTGCTTTGTTTCTTGTTCTTGCTGTCTGGTCTTGTGACCGTTGCTTGTTCTCAGACTGTGTGGTGACTTCGTGATCCATTGTGAGATGTGTGTTGCTTTCCACAGGACTACCATCACCTAGATAATGGGGGTGTGTCAAACTATAATTTATATAGTTTGTATTGTTTGTCTAGGTGGTGTACACTTTGTTAGTCCTAGGGTTAGGTTTCCTATATCTTTGTTGTTTCCTCCCGCGTTGCTCCCACGCAAAAGTGCGTCACCCATCATTACCTAGACCAGGAAATGCCTTTGCCATGCATAGCAGCTGCGACGATGCCTCTGCATTTCCCCTGCTTGTGGTCTCTCCCCTCTTTCATCTTTCAGTGAGTGCGTCGCCCGTCATTGCCTCCCCTGGAGGACCCAGTGGCATGGGAGTAGCAGCGGCTGGATCGTACTGAACCTACCTTCTTTGCCCTCCCCGTTCTTCCCCCTTTCTCTCCCCCAGCATGTGCGTAGCCCCTCATTACCCCATCTAGAGGACGCCGTGGCAATGGGAGTTGCAGTGATGAGATGAGAGGACAACAAGCCATCTTTTCTCCCTGCTCTGCCATTTTCCATCTCCTCTCTCCCCTCTTTCCCCTCTTTCATCATTCAGTGTGTACGTCGCCCCTCATTGCCCCGCTAAGGACGCCGTGTCATGGGAGCTGCAATGGTTGGAGAGGACTGAACCTACCTTTTTTCCCCTCCCCGTTCTTCCCCTCTTTCTCCCACCCAGCATGTGCGGCACCCATCGCTGCCCCGACAAGACGACGCCGTGGCATGGGAGTTGCAGCGCTTGGAACGGGATGAGTCGGACGCCTTCAGCCGCCTCAGGTAGGCCCAACACAGCTCAAATCAAGGGTCATCGCCTTTAGAGGTGCCTCAAAACTTAAGGGTCATCGCCTTTTGAGGTGCCTCAAAACTCAAGGAGCACGGGCTTCTGAGGTACCTTGTGATAGGCGTTTCAACTATGTCGATCCATTTTTTTTTCTTTTCTTTTTTTCTAACTTGACTTGTCCTAAAAATGATATGCTAAAACGTGTGCCGTTGTCTCCTATTTTTTGTTGCGTCCCAATATTTCCCTAGTCTACATATCCTCCTCCTCTGTAGCACCCGTTCCCCCTACTCAGTCCCCTTGCTATCTCCATTCTCTCAGATCGTGTTTCCCACCTGTATTTTCTCTCCCCTCCTTTCCTGCCTGTTTCTCCCTGCCTCATTCCCTCTCATGTTTCCCCTCATCTCCCTGCTGCTCATTTCTCCTCCTCTCCCCAATCCCTCCCCTCTTCCCCCCCCCCGCCAGCCTCCCGATTTCGCAGATCCTCACTCCCCCCCAGCTACAGTCTCTTGCCGCCCGCTTCCCATCCCTTGCCGCCCATGGCACTGCGGGCCATTCAGATACTGCCACGTGGCATGTCTGTGGACACCTCCGCACCAACCCCAGAAAGCGTGGATCAGATCTTGAGGTTTGTTGAATGTTATGAGTGTGCTGTTACTATTGCCTACCAGCATTATTATCCAAGTTCGTTCCACCATGCTGACTTGTCTTTTGAGACGTTTTGAGATAATTAAAGAAGCCAATGCCCCTCAATACAGAGGCTTAGACCCCTCACAGCCTCTACCTCTGTGCTGCCCCTCTTTGCCCACCTCACTCTCAGTCATGCTCTTTCTGCTCCTTTCATCCCCTTGCTTCCACCCACCAGGTATCTGGATCAGATGCAAAACGTCCCTTCACTCCATCACACCCTCTTCCCCTTCCTCCCCACCCACCACCAGCTATTTGGACCACATACAAGCACTGCTAACCGGTGACCACCTGAAGGCGAAGCTTCTGTTTGCACTCCTCACGCTCAGCCCCGTGCATGGCCAGGCAGACAATTTCACCATTCCCACACCCACCAGCTATCTAGACGACATCCAGCCGCTGCTAACCAGTGACCACCTCAAGGCAAAGCTGCTATTTGCGCGCCTCACGCTCAGCCTGGTGCACGGCCAAGCGGATGCTGCCCTCCTCCTCGCCTTCCTCTCTCTCATCCAAAACGGTCCTTACGGTGTCTTCCCCACTGCAAGGTAGGATTAGTTGATTTAGCCACCTCCTCTTACGTCTTCCCTCCCCTTCCTCCTCCTTGCCTTTTCCTCTGTGCCTTCCTCTCGCTCATCCACAATGGCCCTTACATCGTCTTCCCTCCAACACAGTAGGCTGATAGCTGAGCTGGGTTGGCCCTTTTTGCTGCTCCAAATGCTTGCGTGGCTGATTGCTCTGTTCGAGGAAGGGTCAGTCCCAACCTCAACCTCCCTCTTCCGACATGGGGAAGAGACGTGTTCGCATCTGCCCCTCTTCTCCAGCAGGGTAAGGCAAGGCTCCTCCTCTTCACCCACATCCCTGCCCTCTTTCCAACCCAATCTTCAACCCAAAGCCGAACCCAATACCAGGCCAGACGAAGAGGAGGCATTCTCCCATCTGCCGCTCCTCCATACCAGTTGAAGTCACCTGATACTTACTCAAAACACCAACCTCGTTACACAAACCCTCACCAAATCCCAACCCCACCAGGCCACACGAGGAGGAAGCATTCGCGTATTTTCCTCTCTTCGCCTCCTGCCCCTCCCCATCCGATGTCAAGGACCTTGTAGCCCAGCTGTTCCAAAACCTCTTCTCCTCCCCCTCCTTCTCCTCCCTCACCTCCCCTCCCTCCTCCTCCTCCTCCTCCTCCTCCTCCTCCTCCTCCTCCTCCTCCTCCTCTACCTCCCATTTTGCTCTTCCTACGAGTATTACCTCTCTCTTAACATTCCATTCAATTCCTGCAACATCAGCATCTACCTCGTCAGCAGAAGCAGCATCAGCGGCAGCAGCAGTGTCAGCGCAATTCCCGTTCGCCCCGGATTCCCCAGAGGCAGCGGCGCTGGTGGAGAGGGCCATGCACACATGGCAGCCTTTGATTGGGGAGGGGACTCCTGCACCGCATGGCCTCAAACCATGGTAGGCTTCCCTGTTTCTTATGTTTTTTTTTGTTTTTTTTTTTTTGTTTTTTTTTTTTTTTTTTGGTTTCAAATCGTTTCTGACTGTCAGACTTTGTTTTTCAACCTTCTAGATGTCGAATCCCTACACCCTCCCACTTCTTGTCTACCTTCTCTTTCTTCCAACTTGCACACCCTCCCATGGTTTTCCCAATTTTCATCCCTTTATTCTTGCCATCCTGTTCCCCTTTTTCTGTTTCCCTTTGTTGTAACAGGTATAAGCAAGAGATTCATCTGCAGCAGCAGGAATAGAAATGACAAACTCCCCTCCCCACCACCACCACTACTACCACCACCACCCCCTCCTCCTCCGCCTCCCCCTCTCACCCCTTCTCCCTCATAAAGCGAATCCTGAGTGTGGATCTGCCACAGCTGGCCGGGAGGCGGGGAGTGTTTGTAGTGGAGCTGGAGGGCGGCGGACTGAGTGCGTGTGCGATTATTCGAAAGGGCAATCTAGTGTGAGTGGATGCAAATGTGCCACACGTATCGTGCACATGAGGAATGCGCATGTTTCCAGTCTTGTGTCATGTATGTGGCGATCCGTGTGTCGAATATGTTGTGTGAGCCTTGGTGTCCAAAGGTTACCAGAGTGTGCGCCTGGGCTATGAATGGAAAAGGGCAATTCTGAGGCGCCTCGAAATTCGTCTCTTACCCCATGATTTTGAGGTGCCTCAAAGTGTGCGCGGCGCGCCTAGCCCATCACGTCCACCCTCACCCCTCGCAGCCTCTGCATCCGCATGGTCAATGACGACAGCGCTCTCGTGCTCTCAGTTGATGTCTTAACCCCTCTTCACACCGTTTTACACCCCTTCATGCCCCTTCACACCCCCTCTTACCCACCCCACTCCAATCAGCCACATGTCCGCCCTCACCCTCGCGGCCTTGCCATTTGCATGCCCAACAAAGACGGCACTCTCGTGCTCTCACTTGACACCTTAACCCCTATTCACACCCCTTCATCACACTTCCTTTTCCCCCAATCCACTCAGCAACACGTCCACCTCACGCTCGCAGCCATACCATTCGCATGCTCACTCGGTCAATGTCTTATCCCCTCTTCACACTGTAAGAATGTGAGCGAATGAATGACTGAACTAGAAAGCAGGTGGGTACAAGTAGGAAACCTATGAGAACAAGTAGGTGGGTACAAGTACAAGTGTTGTACCCTATGAGAACTACCCCACTACAGCCTAAACAGACTATAGCATATAAGTTAATGTGTAACAAGTACAAGGACCTGCTGCACCATGTGTGACTCAGTCAACGTAATGGTGCGCTGTGCTCTATCCCGGGTGATCCGCAAGCCAAGATAGCTTGTCAGCTCACCCAGGTCTGTGCACGTGTGTCTCTTCTGCAGCTCGGACTTCACGTGGGCGAGTGCCTCAGTGTCAGCAATAGCAAAGACGAGGTCGTCTACGTACACGAGAACGTAGAACGGCGGCAGAGTAGTGTCAGTGCGTAAAAACAGAGAAGGGTCAGCAGTGGAAGGAGCAAAACCAAGAGCAGCAAGAGTCATCCTCAGTGTGTCGTGCCACTCACGGGGTGCCTGGCGGAGACCGTAGACTGGCCGCCGGAGGCTCCACTGGGTACCAGCAGGAAACGACCCAGTGAAGCCAGGTGGGCGGCGTAGCCAGATCTCCTCGTGCAGGCTGCTCTGTAGGAAGGCTGTGCTGAAGTCAAGCGAGTGGAGCTCGTAGTCACGCTGAGCAGCAACGTGCAGCAGTAACCGAAGAGTGGTCATCTTCGGGGTAGGGGAGAAGGTATGAAAGAAGTCAACTCCCTGTCGCTAATTGAAGCCACGTGCAACGTAACGCGCCTTGAAGGCAGGCGGAGAACCCGGCGGCCGCTTCACCCTGAAGATCCACATGCCACTGACGATGTTCGCCCCAGGTGGGGTAGCCTCGTCTACGTAGGTGCCTGTGGACTTCCAGGAAGCAATCTCGGCGTCCATGGCTGCCAGCCACTGAGAGGAGTAGGGACCCTTTATCGCGTCTACGTAAGAGCGCGGGGTCGGGATGTCTGGTGCATCCGGGTCTCCCTCAGGGGCAAGCAGCATGGACACGAGATGAGGTACAGCAGCGGCAAAGCACTCAAACTCCTCCTGTCTGTCCTCAAGAACGTCTGTGCCAAGAGCACACTCACCCCCGACGGACGGAGGACAGACAGACGCAGACTCAGACTCAGGAACAAGACTAGTGGCGTAGTCGAGGCGACAGGCTGTAGCAAAGTCAACAAGCTCAGCAACAAGAGCAGACGCAGCAGTGGACTCAAACAAAGGGTCAGTGACAGCAGTGGCCAGAAAGCGCGTGATAGTAGGACGAGCAGCACGAAGGGAGTCAGACCCAGGGTCTGGACTGTTAGGAAGAGAGGACGCAGGAGGAGACGGCAGAGGGACACGCTGTGGAGCAGTGGTAGGACGCAGAGTCATAGAGTGAGTGCCAGGGACAGGAGGAGGACGCGGAGTACGACGACCAGTGCGAGCAGTGCGGACAGGCGACGCAGAACGAGAAACAGGCGACACAGGACGCGACTCAGGCTCACGACGCTCCGTAAGACCTCTAGTCGGTCCAGAGTAAGAAGAAGGACCAAGCAGTGGAGAGGACAACTGTAACGGTGACTGTGACTGGACAGGCGGTGGACTAAGTAAAGGAGGAGTAGGACAAGGAGAAGGCGGTCGACCAAGAACCTGCTGAAGGAGCGGAACGTAGTACGGCCGCGGCCGCACAGCGCCTCCAGAAACAACAGAGACAGCACCAGTACCCTAAGCTCCAGGGTCTCCAGTAACAACTCCCGCAGCACCACCAGCCCCAGTACCTGCAGCTCCAACACCTGCAGCACCACCAGCCCCAGCAGCTCCAGTACCTCCAGGACCAACGGCTCCAGCAGCTCTAGCACCAGCAGCACCTCCAGCAGCTCCAGCACTAGCAGCACCTCGAGCAGCACCAGCACCAGCAGCACCTCCAGTAGCTCCAGCACCAGCAGCACCTCCAGTAGCACCAGCACCAGCAGCACCTCCAGCAGCTCCAGTAGCATGGCGACAGCGCCGAGCGTACCACTCACGAAGCGGCTGCGGAGAGAGGGGCTCCCGCCGCAACAGGACACCCGGAGAACCTCCAGACTCAGCACGCGTAGGCTCAGCACCTCCAGACGCAGTACCCCCAGGCTCAGCACCCCCAGGCTCCACACGCTCAGGCTCAGCACCCCCAGACTCTACACGCTCAGGCTCAACACCCCTAGACTCCACACACTCAGGCTCAGCACCCCCAGGCTCCGCACCCCCAATCCCTGCACCCGCAGGCTCAGCACCCCTAGCAGCACCTGAGTCGACAGCTACCTCGACCGGCTCAGCAGGGTCTACCTAAGACACACCTGAGGGGGCAGGACCCTGAGGGTGGAGGGGGTCTACCGGAGGAGTACCTGGTGCTAGGAAGAGTGGCGGGGGGGGGAGAGAGGCAGTGCGGTAGGGAAAGAGACGGTAGTAAGACACCGACTTGTCAAACGTGACGTCATGAGATGACAGAAGACGACGCGAGGTGGGGTGGTAGAACTGCCACCTGGGTGCGTCAGGGGGGAAGCCAAGGAAGACGCAGGGAACGGCACGGGAGGACAGCTTGTCCGCTGAGGTATCGCGGACAAAAGCTCGAGATCCCCTGACACGGAACGTGGACGCATCGCCAACCTTCCCCGTTCACCTCAGAGTAGGTGTGGTCTCCGGCAAGGAGACACGAGGCTGAAGGTTGATCTGATGCGCAGCGTACTGAACCGCGAACGGCCACAGAAAATGTGGAGCAGCCGCATGGATCATGGACGTATGAGCGGCGTCCATGACCATGCCAATGCGGCGCTCAGCAATCCCATTTTGCTGTGGGGAGGCCGGAAGCGTGAACGTCTGGCGGATGCCCTCGGCACGACAGAAGGCCCTCAGGAGGTCGGAGGAAAACTCACCACCTCTGTCGGAGTGCAGACGCAGAACAGGAAGGTCCGAGCCGAAACTCTCACTGAGCTGGCGACGAGCACCGCGGATCCAGTCGATCAACACCTCAGGGACCTAGCCCTTGCTGCGCAAGGGGAAGACTGTGGTGTAACGCGAGTAGTCGTCAACGACCAGCAGGAAGTAACGCTCGTGACCCTGTCCACGGACGCGGGCTGGGCCCCACACGTCCATGTGAAGAGTCTGCAGAGGAGCCTCTGTCGGGGGGAACGTGGAGGAGTGAGGAGCGGCGCGCTGCCGGCCCTCGACACAAGGAACACAGGTAGGGGCAGGCCCCGGAGGAAGGGGAGGGAGGGACCGGGGTAGACTCGAGACAAGGGTACGGGAGGCCATACCTCGAAGACGAGGCAGGGTGGGGTGACCAAGGCGATGGTGCCAAAGGAGAGTCTCGTGCGACAGAGGACGACACGAGCAGGGGGCAGACGCAGGACTAGACCTGGACGCGGCAGCAAACACCTGACTAGACGCAGCTACCTGACCAGACGCAGAGACCGGAGGAGACGCAATAGTCAGTGTGTACAGACTCGACCCTGGCCGACGGGTGAACGTGGCCAGGTGGCGGCTCGTCCGAGAGCAAGTGCAGTGGGTCACACGCTGACCTCCAGGGGTGAACTGGTCAACCCACGCGTCCTGGAGGTCAGCTCCACTCACCAGGTTCGTAGAGAACGAGGGGAGGTGGAGTCCCGACAGCAAGCCCGACGGGGCCGCAGGACACGGTAGAACCGTGGAAGAGTGCGCAAGGACTGGGCCCCCAGAGGGGTCAGCCAGGGAGACTGCGACAGGCCGACGGAGCGGCGTGAGTGTGGTGCTGTCTCTAAAGAAAGAGCGCGAAGCACCAGAGTCAAGTGTGAAAGTGTGCAAGGCCTCAGTAGGTGCAGTACCAGAGAGAGCATACTCACCAGCACCTGGAGCAGTAGACTCACCAGTACCTGGAGCAGCAGACGCACTAGCACCTAGAGCAGCAGCCGCAATGCCCGGGTCGGGCGGGACACTCAGGTAACATTCACCCTCAGCACTATCAGTCAAAGCATACATGGCAGCAAGGATAGCATCGAAATCAAGATTAAAGATAGGCACATTCTGCATAAGCAGATCATGCCAGCGAGGGAGCTCAACAGCGTCGGGAAACTGGGCATGCCAGGCGTCAGTCAAGCGACCGAAGCAGCGCTGCGTAGTGTGTGGCAGCCCACACGTCTCCCCACGACGACTGCCGGTGCGAAGAACGTAAGTGCAGGGACCAGCACCCCCAGACCTCCCACGCCCAGCGTACCACTAACGAAGCTGCTGGGCAGACGGGGTCTCACGGGAACGCGGCTGCTGCTGGCGCTGGCTACCACCAAAGCCTCCACGCTGTGCGGCTGCACCTCGACCAGCACCACCGCCGCCGCCACCGCCACCACCGCTGCAGCTACCTCCACCACCGCTGCCGCTGCCTCCACCACCTCCGCCGCTGCCTCCACCACCTCCACCGCCGCCACTCAAGCCCCCACTCCCGGCACCACCCCCACCTCCACTGCCACCCCCTCCGCCTCCTCTACCGCCTCCGCCGCTGCCCCCGCCGTCCCCTCCACCACCCTTGCTCCCCTTGCCCTTGCTGTTGCGGCGCCTCCCACTAGGGGCAGACGCAGCTCCGACCTCCTCAGTGCCAACAAGGTCGACAGCAGTAGCAGAAGCAACAAAGGGGAGAAGGGGGACAGGGGAACACCCCTTAAAGAAAGGGGTGCGACGGTCGCCGCGAGAAGCACCTACAGCTAAGATACTCTTCTCAGCTGCAGTGAGGCACTCCTCTAGTAGGTCGACAGTGAGCTCGGTGGGGCAAAGGCTGAGAAAGTGGTCCCTGACTCTAAGAAAGGGAGTCAGGGAGGCGGGTGACTAGGTAGTAAAGGGTGATGTACATGGGGGGGGGTTCTTTGCACAGAACTCAGTGGGAAGGGCAGCGCGGTAGCGGGCATCGCTAGTGCGGAGGTGAGCAATGAGGTCAGCGACTGTGGCAATGGCGGCAAGGTCAGGGAAAAGGTACGGCAGCATGAGGCGGCTGAGGGCAGCAGTGGCAGGGGAGGAGTAGCGCGCAACTATAGCGTCGTACAAAGACTGAGCAGTCTTGTACTGGCCAAAATGCGCGCGCTCAGCAGGCGGCAGGTGACTACGAACAGCAAGACGAGCAACAGCGTCACGAGTGGTCCACTGCAAGCGAACCGTACTGTCAGCAGTGGCAGCAGGAGCAGTAGAGACACCGGATGTGTGATCGAAAAGGGATACCCCATCCCTAGAGTCACACCGAAGAAAGAGCTGCAGGTCGTCAACCCACACGTCAAAGTCAATTGCATGCCCCTCAGCATCAAAGGTGAGAACAGTAGGGCTAGCCATAGCAGCAGTAGGAGCAGTAGCAGCAGTAGCAGCAGAGGCAGTAGGGCAGGCAGGGTAGTGCGGCTCGGTAGGGCGGCGCGGCTCGGCAGAGCGGCGCGGCTCAGTGGGCGGCGCGGCTCGGCTGGGCGGCGCGGCTCGGCAACTGGCGGCATGGCGCAGCTGGGCGGCGCAGGTGCTTACCAGGGGCGGGTGCAGGGCCGGGCCGTGACAGCGGGGGCCGCGACAGCTGGGGGCGCGACAGCAGGGGCCGCGTCAGCAGGGGCCGCGACAGAAGGGGCCGCGCCAGAAGGGGCGGCGACGGCAGGGGCCGCGACAGCAGGGGGCCGCGACAGCAGGGGCCGCGTCAGCAAGGGCCGCGACAGAAGGGGCCGCGCCAGTAGGGGCGGCGACGGCAGGGGCGGCGACAGCAGGGGGCCGCGACAGCAGGGGCCGTGATAGCAGGTGGCTGCGACAGCAGGGGCCGCGGTAGCAGGGGCCGTGATAGCAGGGGCGGCGACGGCAGGGGCCGCGACGGCTTGGGGCCGCAACAGTAGCAGGGGCCGCAGCGGCAGTAGGGGCCGCGACAGATGGTGACGGCAGGGCTGCGAGGCAGGGGCTGCGATGGGCGAGGGCCGCGATAGCAGTATGGGCCGCGTTGGCAGTAGGGGCCGAGACGGCAGGTGGGGTCGGGACGGCAGTAGGGGCCGCGACAGGCAGTAGGGGTCGCGTCTAGCAGGGGCCGTGACGGGCGACAAAGGGCAGGGCGCAAGGCGCGCTTCGGGCAGGGCGCGATGCGCGCTTTGGGCAGGGCAGGAAAAAAAAAAGTTGTGGTGGGCCCTTAAAAAACGTTCCCACTAGGGAACCTGCTCAGAATACCATGTTAGAATGTGAGCGAATGAATGACTGAACTAGAAAGCAGGTGGGTACAAGTAAGAAACCTAAAAGTGTTGTACCCTATGAGAACTACCCCACTACAGCCTAAACAGACTATAGCATATAAGTTTGACACACACCCCTTCTTCCCCCATGCCAATCAGCCACACTCCTTGCAGCCTCTCCATCCGAATGCTCAATGAAGACGGTGCTCTCTTGCTGCCCACCAATGCAACTGGAGGCTCGAATGGAGGCTCGGATGGAGGCTCGGCTGCAGCTTCGGGTGGAGGTCTTGACCAAGGCTCGGATGGGGGAGGGCCGAGTTTGTTGGTTGGGACGACCGTTCAGAAGGGAGTGTTGGGATGCTGGGCGGCGAGTGTGTGGGTGGAGGGGGTGGAGTATGCGGTTGGGAGTGTCAGAGGTGTTGTGCCAAAGTACTATAGTGGCACGGTCATCGCACTCCCATTCAGCCTACAAGCCTGCTCAGCTTCTGGAATTTTGTGGGATGGTGCTTCAACATGTGTTCTTCAAACCCTCAAAGTTTCAGAATTGTTGAGGCAGTTTACAAGGCATGGCAACATTTTTAGTTTCAAGACTTATGGCATCCCGGAAGTGTGTGTTACTCTTTTTTGGTAACACCCGAGTTCACCATTTCGGCTGCTGACTCATCTACCGAGCCCTGATTGGTCTGAAAATCGGTGTGGCACACCTTTGCCATGTTGTGCAGGTGGTCACCGAGTTTCAGGATAACCCAGCATCGGAGCAGCACGTGACAGCTGTCGAAAGTTACTGTTCCGTAGTCATGGTGCACTGTTGGCAGCATTTCCCTTGCCACCCTTTCATTGTTGTCATGCCAATGGTGCAGGGACAGAGAATGAGACAAGAAGTACAGGTGGTCAAGTGGGACTCTACCACCCTCCTTTTGAGAAGTGTGGTCTTCCTGGAAGCAGCTTGCAAGAGGGTGCAAGTGGGAAGACAAGCTGACTCATGGTTGGCTTGACTCACTATTGGTAGCCTTGAGTACAGCTCTGAACATCCAAGTGTGGTTGGCTTTGCTAACCTAGCTAGGACGTTTCCCATCCTTCTCTAGCCTTTCTCCCCTAGGACTCAACCTTCTCTGAGTTCCCAGGATGGTCCCAACCCCTTAAGAGTCCCCTAGGCAATGTTGCACTCAACCTCTTCCTTGCATCAATGAAGCTACTCGTTTTTCAGCCAAGCTTACGTTTTTGTTCACTGCGTAGCGCATACACCTCTGATGAAAGCAAACCATATGCCGTTGGAAAGTAGACAACTGAAGATAACGTCTGTCCAAGTTTCAGCCTCGTTTGTTATCGGAGCTGATCGTGACGGCGTTTTGAACAGAGGCGGTTCGAAGTCACCAGATTCTGCTTAGGCGGTTTCAAGGGCATCTACGACCCCTAAGTGGACTCTAGACTATAACAAGTGGTATCAGAGCGGTTCTTCTCTGTTCCTGGGTCAATATGGAGGCTGAAGGCTCTGCTCCAGCTGGTCCTAGTGGCAGTGGTGGCGTGAGAGGCGCTGGGGAAGCAGGAAGAGGCGTTGTAGGCGGATCTGCACCAATAGCATCCGTTTCAACACCAGCCAAGGATGATGTGAAGGCATTCAACCTAGAGAAGTTCTCTGGGGAGGATTGGGCATCATGGAGCTTCAGGATGGAGCTCCTATTTAACCATTATGGGCTGCTTGAAGTGATGGATGGAGAATTGAAGAGGCCTGCGAGCGAAGGAGCGACCAAGGAATGGGATCGCCGATCCAAGGATGGATTCTTCCTTCTCTCTCAATGCCTCTCATCCAACCAGCTGCACCACGTCAAGCATCTCATCAAGGATATCCAGTGTGGTCCCAAGGCATGGAAAATATTGAAGGATGTCCATGCCCCCAGCAGCGAAGCGATGGTGGTGGTGCTCGAACGACAACTCCATGCGGTGAAGATCAACGAGGGTGATGCCATGCAAGGAGCGTTTGATCAACTCCGGGACCTCTATGTGAAGCTCTCTGCTGCTGGTGTGGACTATCCTGAAAAGATCAAGTGCTACAAGGCTCTCTCCCTGCTGCCGGAGTCGTGGGGCCCCTTGGTGGTCAACCTCAATGGCATGAAGGACTCATGGTCCCTTGAGTGGATTCGTGCTCAAGTCCTTCAAGAGGAGTTTCGGAGGAAGGAGCTGACTGCCGCTGCCGGTGAAGGTGGAGGCTCTGCCTATGGCATGAAAGGCTTCAATGGACGTGGCAGCAAGAAAGGCAAGGCCAAGGAAGGCTCTGGAGGGGAGCAGTATTCGGGAGGGAAGCGTAGCAACAAGGGAGGCAAGCGGTGTGGCGGCAAGTGTTGGTATTGCCATGTGGAAGGTCACCCATGGTTTAAGTGTCGCAAGCTACCTGATGGTTGGAGGCCTGGTCAGCCATCAATTGAAGGCTCTAAGGGTGTTCATGGAGCTATGGGAGAAGGCATGGGCAGTGAGGAGGGCGATGGAGGTGCCGGCGGACATGGCGGCATGTTCTACCATGTAGGAGAGGCATGCTCCGAGGATATGGTTGTACCGGCCAGCAAGGTTGCTCTTCACCGTTCCTCCCATTGGGTCATCGACACGGGAGCCTTCATGACCATGACCAACCGAGAGGATCTGCTGGATGAAGTCAGGCCATCAAAGGCAGCCACCGTTGTTTCAGCCACCGGCCAAGTTGTACCCGTGCGTGGCGAGGGGAGAGCCATGTTTATGGGTGCGGATGGGAGGCTTGTGGGGCTGAAGCGTGTTCTCCTTGTCCCTGGACTATGTGCCAACCTTCTCTCTACCAAGGCATTGAGTGAGGCAGGGATGAAGATGGAGATGATGGGCACAAAGGTGTTCAAGGCAACTCTGGATGGGCGCGTGTTGTGGGACCTCCGAGGCGGCAAGGACATGCACCGGTCCATGTGGGAGATACCGGTGCTGCCATGGAAGGAGGCGGCTGCGCGCTTGGCTGCTGAAGCTGTAAGAGGAGGGCATGCAAGCCACGTAACCAGTGGAGGAGGTGGTGATGGCAGTGATGGTGGGCTGCTTGTGCATGGGGGGGGTGCACTACCAAGTGTAACTCCTAGCACGGATGAGACAGATTGGCTCACCGCACACCGTCGCTTTGGCCACGTGGCGCTACCTCAGTTACAGCAGCTGTTTAAGGAGGAAAGAGTCAAGGGGCTGAGGATAAAGGGGGAGCCCAAGGAGGTGGGCTCTTGTGAGACTTGTTTGACCAGCAAGTTCTCACGATTTCCCTTCCATTCGACGGTGGGGCAGTCAAGTGACCCGGTGGAGCTCGTGCATGTGGATCTTGTGGGGCCCATGAAGGTGAAGGGAGATGGTGGAGCCCTGTATTCCATGACTATGGTGGATGATTACACAAGGCTCACCTGATCTTTTCCACTTGCAAAGAAGAGTGATGCTGCAAGGGTCATCATTGAAGAGTGGCTGCCCATGGTGGAGCGAGAGAGCGGCAAGTGGGTGAAGGCGATTCGTAGCGACCGTGGTGGGGAGTTTTTGGGAGCGGAGTTCCGGAGCTGGTTGAAGCGGCACGGCATCAAGCAGCAGCTCACCACGGCCTACACCCCTTAGTCCAACGGCGTGGTAGAGAGAGCGAACCGGACCATCATAGAGGGCGGGAGAACGATTTTGGTGGACTCGGGTCTACCCTTGCGGTTCTGGCCCCTCGCTATTCGTCATGCTACCGTCATCAAGAACCGGGTGTTGACTCATGTGGGAGGTCAGCATTGGGTCCCTATGGAGAAGTGGAGTGGCAATAAGCCCCTGGTTGATATGCTTCGTGTCTTCGGGTGCATGGGGCTCGTGCATGTCCCTAAGGAGAAGCGTGACAAGCTTCAAGCGGCGGCGGTGTGGGCTGTTCATTTGGGTCTTGCACGGGGGAGCAAGGGCTGGCTCATATGGGACCCAAAATCCAACACCATCTTCACCACCAGAGATGCCAAGTTCATGGAGGGGCTCATGTTCAAGGAGTGGTCGGAGCGGGGGAGGAGCAAGGTCACCATTCCGCTTGGAATAGAGGTGGGAACCAACGACCCACTTCTCATTCCCATCGAGTTGTCCTCATCTTCAGAGTTGACAGAGGTGTCACATGACTTGGGAGGTGCTGAAGGGGAGGCAGCAGATGTGGAAGAAGTACTACAGCAAGGGGAGGCCCCTATAGCTGAGAGAGGTGATACCGAGGAGGAGGTGCAGCAGCCTACACCATCCCCTAAGCTTCCACCAAGGCGCACAACCCAAGGGAAGCGTGATGCTGTCCGTGGTGGAGCCAAGGAAGGAGCAGCCAAGGAGAGCTGGCCACCCAAGGTATTTCCTCAAGTATGAAAGGCTTGGGGTTCCCAAGGCATTGCTAGTCCAAGAGGAGGTATATGAGGAGGAGAAGGGAGCCGAGGGAGAGATGGAGCAGATTTGTTGCTTTGGCGTCAACTTACCTCATGAGCCGGCGTCAATGGAGGAAGCTTCTGCTTCCCTTCACTGCCAGCAGCAGACATTGCTCTCTCATGCTCTTTGATGAATTCTATAGGGTCACCAATTGAGGTGCCTGAAGAGAGGTGAGACGAGGGTGGGGTGGGAGGGATGGCCTGCTGTGCCTTTCACATCCGCCACCATTAGCCAGAGCTAGCGTGGTGTGTGCTCTTGACATGGTCGGCTAGGTGCCTGGCTACGGTGGGTGGGAGCATTTTAACAAGTGACCTGAGAGAAGTGAGGATAAAAGAGGTAGTGATAGTGTTGCTGCTTAAGGCGCCTGAAGAGAGGTGAGCGGAGGGGGTAAACAATGCACTTCCTTGTGTTTCTCCTTTTTACCTTCTTTCCCCCATCTGCACGTTTACCCCCTCTGTTCTGAACCTCCCCAATCCTCGCTCCTTTTTGCACCCTCCTCCCTTTTCCCAACCCAACCTTCCCCCATTTCCGCCACCCCTCACCCTTTTTCCATTCTTCCCCTCCCGCTTGTATTCCCCCCCCCCCCTCCTCCCGCCTCCCCCACTTACAACCTCAACTTGCACACCTGGCTTGATCAACCCTTCCTCCGCCCCTCTGCTGATGTCACCATCCTCCTCCATCCCTCCCTCACTCTCTCCTCCTCTCATTCACACTCCTCCTCTCTCCTTGCCACCCCCCTCTCTCTCCTGCGCTCCCCGGAGCTCGTTGTTTCTTGGAAGCTTCTGGAAGGCCAGGATGTGACTGTTCGCATTCCCAACCTCTCTCTCCGGCCGGATTCAGAGTTAACGCACAGGACAAAAGTTCCGGACGGTGCAGTTTGTCTCGTAGTGGCCCTTCGGGGAACAGTGGTGTTGCATAGCAAGGGTGGGCAGGAGAAGGCGCTGAATGCAGAAGCTTCCTGGAAGGTGTTGGCACCTTTTGATCCTGGGGGAAGGGTAGCAGCGAATGGGAGTGCGTGGGAGGGGAGTGAGGTGGGGGGAGGGGCAGGGGGCGGAGGGGGGATGATTCTTGGGGAAGTAGGAGGGGCGGAGGGGGGGGATGGGGGGGGGAAAGTAGAGGCCAATCGAAGTGGAATATTTGTTTTTGGAGATAAGGGGTGAGGGGGAGGAAGGGATGGGGGAGAGGAAAGGGGGAGGAGAGGGGAAGGGGGGCGTGGGGGGGTATGTGTTGCGCGTGGTGGGGGAAGCGGGGGAGGGGAAAGGGGGGAGGCTGGTGGTGGTGCGGCTGCGGCATCGGCTGGCCAATGAATGGTCGCCAGGTGTCGTGATGAGAATCGACGATGAATGGTGCGTGTATTTGGGGTGGTTGGAAGGGGTGGAGAGGGTTGGAGTGAGGACGGTGGGGGAGTGGGAGGGAGAGGGGAAGGGGAAGGAATGAGGGGGAGGGCAAGGGAGAGAGAAGAGGGGGAGCTTGGGGAAATGGGAAGAGTGGAGGGGTGAGGAAGGGGATGGGGAAGAGGAAAGGGAGGAGTGGATGTGGGGGATGAAGGAGGAGTGGGAACACGTGTGGCATGTGCACACACCACGGCTTGCTCTGATTGGTCCACGTGGCAGTGCGGGTGGGAGTCCGGCAGTGAAGATGCCGTCTCATGTGGTGGTGGTGGGCGGGGAGGAGAGGGCGGAAGGTGATGGTGGTGCTTCTGTTGCTGGCGGTGCTGCTGGTGATGGCGGTGATGCTGCTGCAACGGGCTTGAATAAAGTGATTCTGCAATTGCCTTATGTCTCCCATGCTGCTTCTGATGATGTTGGTACTGCTGCTGCCGCACTGGTCTCCCCATGTCTCTTCCACATGGCTGCTGCATCGGAGTTTGCAGTGGAGGCAGCCTTTCTGGCAGACTGCACGCAGCGACTGCAGATGACAGAGGTGAGACACAGTCCCATAGAGGGGAGTGAAAGAAGGTGCTGCTCTTTCTACCTTCCCAACCCTCTCTCAAGTCATGAGCCTCCTCTCCTTCATTCCTCCATTCTTTTTGCTATTTTCTCCTTCGCTTTTTCCTTTGTTTTATCCATTGTCATTTCCATTATTTTCTCCTCTTTTACATTAATTGTCGCCTTTGTTAACCTACCATCTCTCTCTGCTCGTCATGCCCAACTGCCCGAACAGGGCTATCTTGAGTCACTCACAGTGCCACCAAGATTGCTCCCTTCTCTCGTCCTCCCATTGGATGACGAATCCGTCTCCATCCATCTCTCTTCCTCCCATATTTTTTTCCCCATTCCCTCTCTTTATTCCCCCATCCAAGCAGGGTTACCTTGAGTTATTGAAATTGCCACCAGGGGACTACTCCCTCGTCCTGCCATGGCACGGCAGATCAATCATTTAACAACCCCATTCTCCCTCTGTCTACCCTCCTGAAACAGGGCTATCTTGAGTTACTCACAGTGCCACCAGGGTACTACTCCCTCTTCCTCCCATGGGACAATGAAACCATCTCCATCCGCGTCCTGCCTCCTCCTCCTTCCTCCACTGCTCACTCTCTCTTATCCACTTCCGCGCATCCCACTCTTGCATCCACCCCTGCCTCTCTCCCCTGCCTCGGCTGGGCCGTCTACTTGGTGCACAAAGAACTTCGAAAACCGCTGCCCAAGAGCATGCTCACCATTTGCGCTGCTGCTGTTGGTGGGATTGGGGCGGTGCCAGGTGGGAGAGGGGGAGGGGGAGGGGAAGTGGGGCAGGGAGGGGGAGGGGGAAGGGGAGGAGGTGGGGGAGGGAAGGGGGGGAGGAAGGTTATGTGGGTGAATCTTGGGAGGGGTGGCGCGAGCACACGTGTGCAAGTGGTGGCGCGGCGAGGCATGGTGGCCAAGGCTGTGACTGGTGCCGATCTGAGTATGTTTGGGGGGGGTGGAGGAGAGGGGGAGGGTCGAGGAAGTGTGGAGGGGAGCCGGGTGGGGGGGGAAGGAGGGCAGGAGGGGAGGGTGGGGTTGGAGGAGGTGGAGAGTGAGTATGGCGAGAAGCAGCTGATGGATGAAGAGATCATGTGAGTGTAACGGGGGGAATAAATGTGAGTGTCAATAAGGGTGGTGAATGGGAATGTGACCCACCTCTTTTCTTGCCCTCCTCTTTCCTCATTCCCAGCTGTGCATAGAAGCATTGCCAGATGGTAAGGACCACCACCAGAGCCACAAAGCGGGTGAGGCACCTGCTCCCGCTGCCGTCCCTTCTCCTTCACCCGCAAGTCACCCACCCTCCTTTCCTCTCCCAGCACACCCCTTTCCATGCAATCCCCTTCCCTCTCCCCCAGCTATGTGCAGAACCGCCAGAAGGCCCTCACCAGCAGCAGCGGAGCAACAGAGCGTGTGGGGCATCTGCTCCCCCTTCCTTCCCTCCTCATCCACCCGCGTGTCACCGCTGCCAGCACCACCAAGCGCACCCCTCCCCCTCCACGCCAACTCCACTCCGACCCCGCTGCTAAGAAGAAGCAGATGATGGGAGTGATGCTGCAGCGGAATCTGATCGACAAGGATATGATGGTGGAGCGAGAATGCGCATCCATGGCAATGTTTGCTGCACCGCGAGCCGCCATGTGTTTCGCTGCCCCGGTAGGGGGAAGGGAAAGGATGTATTGTGGTGGGGGTGTTGGTGCTGCTTGTGGCTTTGCCTCCTCGTTCCAGTCAAGTCCCTCTCCCAAACACACCCCGCTCTTTGCACCGAGCCCCATTCTTCTTGCCAGTTTGAGGCCGGTTGGAAGGGAGGGGAGAATGGGGGATGGAGGGGAGGTCGATGAGGGGGGGATGGATGGGTGGGTTGCGGTTCCGAGGTCCTCCCTGCCACATGGAGCCTGTCATTGATTGTCATGGCTGTGGACTCAGGGGAGAGCGTGTGGGTGTTATGTGATGCTATCATTTGCATTCACCTCTGTCTGCCTCCCATCATGTGTTCGTGCGTTGCATGCGTGGTGTTTGCAAGAATTTGTATTTGGTGTTGTTTGGATTTTCTGAGTGTGTGTGAGTGTTATTTGCCTTGAGCAGATATCTGAAGTGACTCCTCTGCTTGAGAGCTTTCCGACGAACCAAGAATCGCCGCGATCAGAGCAAGAACGAGAAAGATATGATCGTTCGAAGTTTTGATTGAAGTGCGGCGACTATGGGAATTTGTGGGTTGACTCAATATGGGGTACAGACTTTTGGAGGTTGGGAAATTTGTCACCATCACTGTAGATGATGCCAAGTGGTTGGGAGAAGCCAAACCAGGTTGGCAAGTGTGGCCAAGTTGGGTGAGGTGGATGGCATGAGTTGGGAAAGTGACAAATGTCAAAGTTGGGGTGCCTATAGAGAGAGGAATTGTGTGGTATGGGGTTTCCTTGGTTGGGGACTCCCTTGGGACCTTCCCTCTCGTCCTCCTCATCCCCTCCTACCTGGTTCAATTGCTACTCCAACTTTCTTGTGTGAACTTGTGAGACAACTTTGTGATTGAGTTAAGTTTCTATGGCAGCATACCCCCTAGTGCGCCGAGATTCATAACTCAAGTTATACTCCATATTTTGATACTACTCAAATTGGGAAAGATAGCCACGGTCAAGGGCTACGACATACTCAAGTTTGCAAGAATTCTGACAGAGCGTTTTTTGTCGACGACATTTCTTGTGACAACGACTTTTCTGTCCAGAATTATAGTTGACGATTTTGAGATATTTCGGCCCTTAATCTTCATAGACTCCGTCCTTAGTCTCTAACAAGTGGTATCAGAGCTGATTAAGGACTTTGTGGAGAATATATTGAAGTGTGAAGACCCTCCTAGACTCACCATGGCCTGTGGGCGTGCCTAAGTGGAGTTCTCGATGTTGCATGTGACTTCCGCTAAGGGGAAACCCTGCCGAAATTTTGTTGGCGCTGAAACTTGTGGAAATTGAGTGGGACTTCGGTGTGGACAGTAAAGGGGGAGCTGGAACCTGTGCTTGGGAGCAGAGGAAATGAGTCAAGCGAGTGGAGATGCAGCTGAGAAGAGAAATGAGCCGCCACCATCCAAGATCGAGGCATTGGATGGCTCCAACTATGAGGAATGGAGCGGGCGGATGCGGAGTGCATTCAAGCGCTACAAGCTGCTAAAACTTGTGATGGGTGAAGAGAAGATGCCGGAGGAAGGAGATGCCCGCGATCGGTGGATTGAGAAGAGCGCGGTGCTATACGACCTAATCTTTCAATCGGTCAACAACGATATGTTCCAACACATCAAGGATTTGGTGGAGTTGGATGATTCCGGACCAAAGACGTGGAAGCTATTGCGCGACGTGATTCAGCCCAACACGCTTCCGATGGTGATTGTGTTGGAGAAGGAGCTGGCTGCCCTCTCCATGCGACCGGGCAATGATGTGAAGCCGGTCCTTGACAAGATCAAGGACAACTATGCGAGGATGGCAGCGGCGGGCAGCAATGTGTCGCAGATGCAGCAGTTCACCAAGATCATCTCGGTGCTCGACAACTCGTGGGACAGCCTCATCCCCACCCTCAACACTCAGCAGGACCAGTGGACACCTGAGTGGCTACGGCAGCAGATTCTGCAGGAGGACTTCCGCAGGCGCCACACGGGTGGTGGTGCTGCCAACAAAACTGCTGACGGGTATGGAGCTGCAGGAGGCAGCAGAGGAAGAGGGGGAGGGAGAGGCCGAGGCCGTGGGAGAGGCTTTGGCAGAGGGAGAGGCCGAGGTGACTATAACGAGGGGCATGGGAGCTCTGGTGGTAGAGGGAGTATCCGAATGGAGGGAGCGTGTTGGTACTGCAAGAAGGCTGGACACCCGTGGTTCAAGTGTTTCAGCCAGCCTGAGGGAAGGGCACCCCCAGGCATGAAGCCGCCAAGTGGTGAACGTGCACGAGGTGGCACTGTGCAAGGTTCAGGTGCACAAGGTGATGGTGCACACGGTAAAGCCGACCCTGGGATGTTCCTCATGGTTGAGGATGTGAAAGGGAGTGAGGGTGATGTGGGCTCAGTTGGGAAGGTTGTGATGCAACCCCTCACTCACTGGGTGATAGATTCAGATTGCACAAGTCACATGACCCCACGGGCAGATTTGCTTGACGAGGTAAAGCCCCCCGGAAAGATTAAGTTTGTGGCTGTTGCTTCATGTGCTTTGCTCTCTGTGATTGGTGTTGGGAATGCCAAGGTAATGGGAGCCAATGGGGGGCTTGAGGGGCTGGGGAATGTGCTGTTGGTTGAAGGCTTGTCCACTAACCTTCTTTCTGTGCGCCGGCTGCAGAAGAGCAAGGCTAAAGTTACCTTCGGTCCAACCAGCTGCCGTGCAAAGCTTGGGAAATTGCTGCTGTGGGATTTGGAGGAGAAGAGCAGCTGCATCAAGGACCTATGGCAGCTGCCCATTATCCCTTGGAACGGGCAACTACCAGCAACGGCAGCGGCAGCAGCAACGGCAAAGGAAACTGCAGGAGGAGAGGAGACTGCACCATCTGATGGGGCTCTGGATGTAGTCAAGAAGGTGCAGCAGCCACAGCAGCAACATGGTGAGGTGCTTGCTGGTGTGGATGCAACAGCTGCATGGGCAAAGGCTTCATGTGTGAGTGGTGAGGCTAATTGGGAGACGTGGCACGAGAGGCTGTGTCATGTGAATTTTCCTATGCTGCAGAAGTTGGTGAAGGATGGGAGCTTGAAGAGGTTGAAGGTGAAAGGGGCAGTGAAGGAGATTGGGAGCTGCCCTACATGCCTTGAGACCAAGTTCACAAAGTTTCCCTTCAGCAGCGGCACGGGACCAGCCAAGGCCCCGCTCGCGCTTGTGCACATGGATGTGGTGGGCCCTACGAGGGCCCCTTCTCTCTCGGGCATCCGCTACTTCTTAACCATTGTGGATGACCACACGCGTGGCGTGTGGGTGTACCCTCTCAAGACTAAGGGGGAAGTGGCAGCGGCTGTTCTTAAGGAGTGGATTCCGAGAGCTCAAAGGGAGAGCGGACACAAGGTGAAGGTGACCCGCACTGACAACGGGGGAGAATTCATTGGTGCTGATTTTGAGGTGGTGCTGAAGAAAAAGGGGATCCAGCATCAGCTCACGGTGCCCTACAACCCTCAGCAGAACGGCGTGGCTGAGCGGTTCAACCGGACCCTGCAGGAAGGTGCTTGCACTCTCCTTTGGCGTGCAGGGCTGCCGGATCCGTTTTGGGTGACTGCACTGCGGCAGGTCGCTCTTGTGAAGAACAAGGTGTTGGCGACTGTTGGGGAGAAGCAATGGGTCCCCTACACCAAGTGGTATGGGAGTGCACTAGCAGTCAACATGCTGAGAACCTACGGCTGCATGGTGGTGTTTCATGTGCCTAAGGAGAAGAGGGGAAAGTTGGAGGCTTCTGGGAGATGGGGAGTACACTTAGGGCTTGCTAAGGATCACAAGGGCTGGTTGATAAGGGACTTGACCAGCCAGCAGCTGACTGTGTCAAGGGATGTGAAGTTCCTTGAGTCCTTGTACTACAAGGAGTGGAAGCAGCAGCAGCAGAAGCTTCCTACTACACCGCTGATCATTGAGGATGATGAGGTGCAGCGGCCTTTGAGGCAAGTACAGGTCACTGTCTCAGAGGAGGAGATCTCTGGGGTGACTGAGGATGGGGGAGAACCTGAGGTGGAGGAGCAACAGCAGCAGCAGCAAGATGCTCCACCACGTGCCGAACGTCCACCAGACCGTCCTAGGAGGGATGTGCGCCCTCCTAACAGGCTGACCTATCCTAGTTTTGGAAAGCCAAAGGTGGTACGGGCTGGGAGTGTGGCTGAGCAGTGTGATGAGGACGAGATAGCACACTGCTACTGGGCAGCCGTCCCTGAGCCCAAGACGCTAGCTGAGGCCTTGAGTGGGCCCGATGCTGATAAGTGGAAGCAGAGTGTGAAGGAGGAGTATGACTCTCTGCTGGAGAATGAAACGTGGGAGTTGTGTGAGCTGCCTCCTGGGAAGAAGGCAATCTCTTCGAAGCTGATCTTCAGGCACAAGTATGGACCTGATGGGGAGCTGACCCGCTACAAGTCAAGGCTTGTGGCTAAGGGGTTCCAGCAGACAAAGGGGAAGGACTTTGACGAGATCTTTGCTCCTGTGGGGAAAGGGACTACACTAAGGGTGATGTTGGGAACGGCTACAAACCGTGGATGGAGGATCAAGCAGATGGACATCACAACTGCTTTCCTCAATGGGATCATCATAGAGGAGCTGTACATGCTGCAGCCTGAGGGGTTGGATGATGGGAGCGGCAAAGTGTGCAGGCTCAAGAAGGCCATCTATGGCCTGAAGCAGGCTCCTCGTGCATGGTACCACAAGCTGGAGGAGACATTGCTGGCTGGGGGTTTCAAGAAGAGCGAGTGTGATCACAACTTGTTCCTCCTGCAAGAGAAGGAGCAGTTCCTCATGCTCCTGGTATATGTGGATGACATCCTTCTCTTCTCTGAGTCGTCTGCAATGATTGAGCGTGTGGAGGAGATGCTGGAGATGCAGTTCAAGTGCTCGAAGATGGGAGATGTCAAGTATTACCTTGGGATGCATGTGGAGAGGGACCTTGACAAGGGAGTGTTGAGGTTGCACCAGAGGATGTACTGTGAGGGGCTGGCTGAGAAGTATGGGCTGCAAGATGGAGGAAAGCTAGCCACCCCACTACCTTCAGGTTTCACTATGGAGACCTGTGCTGATGAGGAGGTGGTGGGTGAGAGCGACAGGAATCTGTTCCATTCCATGGTTGTGGCACTCAACTATGCGGCGAACCACACACGGCCTGACATTGCATTTGCTACTTTTAGGTTTGCAAGTGTGGTCTCATGCCCCAGTCATGAGCAGCTAGAAGCGGCCAAGAGGTTGGTCCGCTATGTCAGTGCTACAACATCTATGGGTTTGGAGTACAGTGCTGTGAGGCAAAGGCAGCAACGGGGTGCTGCTGATTTGGGTAAGGGGGAGATGCTCTTGACTTGCTACACCGATGCCAGCTTCAACTCTGTGAAGGCGGATGGCACCAGCATTGGAGGCTATGTGTGCTTGTTTGGAGGCGGTGCAGTAAGCTGGCGCAGCAAGAAGCAGAATGAGGTGGGGCTGTCCTCGTGTGAGACAGAGTACATGGCTCTGCATCATGGGGCTAAGGAGGTGGTGTGGCTGAGGCGTTTGCTGGAGGAGATCAGAGTGTGCCAGAAGGAGTCTGCTGTGAAGCTTGCAAAGAATGCTTGTCTTCATGGCCTGACAAAGCACATCAGGCCAAAGTGGCATTGGACGAGGAGGCTCCTGGACAAGGAGGTGCGGCTGGAGATTGTGAAGACCCATCAGCAGGCGGCTGACATTCTCACCAAGCGCCTGGCTGAACCTGAGCACTGGAAGGGCATGAAACTTGCTGGGATGAGTGTGCATTGATTGTGCATGCGTGCATGCATGAGCTGAGGCATGTGAGGTGATGGTAGGCAGCCAGAGCGGGAGTTTGTTATGTGATGCTATCATTTGCATTCGCGTCTGTCTGCCTCCCATCATGTGTTTGTGCGTTGCATGCGTGGTGTTTGCAAGAATTTGTGTTTGGTTTTGTTTGGATTTTCTGAGTTTGTGTGAGTGTTATTTGCCTTGAGCAGATATCTGAAGTGACTCCTCTGCTTGAGAGCTTTCCGACAAACCAAGAATTGCCGCGATCGGAGCAAGAACGAGAAAGATATGATTGTTCAAAGTTTTGATTGAGATGCGGCGACTATGGGAATTTGCGGGTTGACTCAATATGGGGTACAGACTTTTGGGGGTTGGGAAATTCGTCACCATCACTGTAGATGATGCCAAGTGGTTGGGAGAAGCCAAACCAGGTTGGCAAGTGTGGCCAAGTTGGGTGAGGTGGATGGCATGAGTTGGGAAAGTGACAAATGTCAAAGTTGGGGTGCCTATAGAGAGGGGAATTGTGTGGTATGGGGTTTCCTTGGTTGGGGACTCCCTTGGGACCTTCCCTCTCGTCCTCCTCATCCCCTCCTACCTGGTTCAATTGCTACTCCAACTTTCTTGTGTGCACTTGTGAGACAACTTTGTGAGTTAAGTTTCTATGGCAGCATACCCCCTAGTGCGTCGAAATTCATAACTCAAGCTATAATCCATATTTTGATACTATTCGAATTGGAAAATATAGCCACGGTCAAGGGCTACAACATACTAAAGTTTGAGAGTACTTTGACAGAGCGTTTTTTGTCGACGACATTTCTTGTGACGAGGACGTTTCTGTCCAGAATTATAGTCGACGATTTTGAGATATTTCGGCCCTTAATCTTCATAGACTCCGTCCTTAGTCTCTAACAGTGGGGATGCCAGGTGGCGCGCTGTGATTCGCTCATTCCAGAGGAGGCGTGGGGGGAGGAGGAGGGGAGTGAGGGGGAGAAGGGGAGGGAGGAGAGGGGGAGGGAGTGGGTGGCGCAGGAAGCATTGGATCCAGCTAAGCATTACCACGAGAGGAGGGCGGTGGAGGTGTGGAGTAGAGGAGAGGTTCATCGCATTGCTGACGTGGCAATGGCACAGGTGGCGGTGAGTCATTGGTGGATGTTACTCATGCAATGCTGTGCTTCATCAAACATCACCCTTGGTTAGTCAACTCCTTTCCTCTTCTTCGTGTTCCCCATCCCATTGTTCCTCACCTCACCTCACCACACCTCAACGCATCTCACCACACTCCACTATTGCCCCCCACATCTCATCCTCTCAAATATTCGTCTCCATCGAGCGCGTTCACGGCCTATTGGCCAGCTTCATCAGCCTGTCAGAGCGCGACATGTAGCAGTAGTTGGCGTTTCCGCTACAGTGGCCGGGCACGCCGGCGGGCGGCAAAGTGGATAAGCTGCAGCGCTTCGGCTCGCACGAACTGCACCTCTTCCTCTTCTTCCACGACCATGCCTTCTTTGTTAAGCACAGTGGGTGCGCCTAGTGCTTTGCAAGCATGGCACGTAACGGGTAATCTTAGATTTCTTTTGTTCGCACGAGCGGCTCCTCTTCCTCTTCTTCCACGAAAATGCCTTCTTTGTGAAACACGGTACTTAATAGTTTATTTGAAGTTTGTTTGTGTTCTTCTGTTCATTGTTCCACCTCCCACGATCTGCACCTGTTCCTCTTCTTCCACGACAATTCCTTCTTTCTAAACACGGTAGGTGCTTCATAGTCATTCTCACAATCAGCTATTTTGATACCTGGTGGTTCACAAGCTGGTTCTCATTCCTTTCGTGCTTCGTCTCTGCAATGAATAAGTGTAGTACTAGTAGATGAGCTACACCTCTTCACTCCCACAACCACTGTCTGTTTCGTATGACTGTTCACTGAACCCCCGCCTTCTTTTCCTGTCTCCCTTTGTCACTCCACACCATTCTATAGTGCGGCCAGCCATCGCCTCCAAGCTCGATCGCTCCTTCCTCGACCTTTGGCTGCTGGGCGACCTTGACGGGGTGATATGCGGTTTGATGCGGTGGAATGGGGTGACATCCGTTTCCATTGGATGCAGTGAGCCGCGAGAGATGTGTTTTAAATATTTTTCTGTGCTCTTACTGTTCCCCTCCTTCCCTCCCATTCCCATCCGCATCGCCGAACACTGTCCCTACGCTACGCCCCACACCCACCAGGTGGTTTCCTTCTGCGCCCTACTGGCCTATCTCAATCTTAATCCGCTCGAGAGGTGCCTGCCGGGGCTGGCCGTGTGCTTCCTCCACATGCTCTTTGCTCCTCTATCCAACCTCAACCCCGCCTTTCCCCCCTCCACACCCCCCCACACGCACCAGGTGCTTTCGTTCTGTGCCTTGCCAGCCTATCTCAGCATCAATGCACTCGAGAGGTACCTTCTAGGGCTGGCCGTGTGCATCCACATGCTGCTGCAACACAGGGGGCAGCGACCCCTGGACTGGCCATACCAGACCCACCTCATCCACCCCAGCGAAGGTAAGGCTATGGTGTTGAGATTAGTTGGTTTTGAACCACTGCAAGCCTTCTAAGAGTCTATGAATGATCTATAGTAATAGGTTGTTTTGTTCGCTGCTTGGTCTGGGGCTGTGGCTGCCCTTGCCAGACACTTGTATGATCATTCTTCCCGCATATCCCCATTTCTTCCCCATTCCTTCTCCCATTTTCCCCCTTTCCTTCTCTCCCTTCTTCCCATTTCAGTCTTGGACGATCTAATCACCCTAGCAGCACCATCCACACCAGCGCTAGCAGCGCAGGCAGCAACAGCCTCCTACCGTCGCTTCACTACTGCCGTCCTCTTGTCCCCCCTTGTCTCCCCCTCCCTTATCCCCCCTGATCTCCCCTCCCTTCTCCCCCCGTTCACCACATTCTCCCCATCTCCCCATACAGTCTTGGGCGATCTAATCACCCTGGCGGCACCAACCACACCAGCGCTGGTAGCGCAGGCAGTAGCAACCTCCTATCGTCGCTTCACCACTGCCCTTGCCAGCCACTCACCATGAGCCTTCTCCCCTTTCTCCCCCCCTTCTTCCCCATTGCAAACCTAGACGATCTAATCACCCTGGCAGCACCACCCACACCAGCGCTGGCAGCGCAAGGCAGCAGCAGCGTCCTACCGTCGCTTTGCCATGGCCCTCGCCAGCTGTAGCGACCTCTACACCTCCCGCCGAACCTCCCACCAAACCTGCCGCCAAACCTACGTCCCAACCCAACTCTGCCCCCAAAGGCACGCCCCCCCACCTCCCCATTGCCCTCCCCCTGGCGCTGCCTCGTCTGGGGGCTTTGGGGGGGCGCCGCCCCCTCCTCCTCCCCCTCCTGCGGCTGACTTTAGCTTTGCTGCCGAATCATCTGAGCAGGTGAGAACGCCGACAAGGTTGCTTTGTAGTTGTCAGGTGTGTATTTTGTCTTAGGCGCCTCAGTGTGACATGTGGATTGCTCAATCCCCACCTCCTCCCCTCCCTAACGCTGCCTCTGCCCTTCTTGCTGCAACATATGGTGCACATGGGGAGGTGAGGCATTAATGATGCTTTTCCAGACGTGCCAGTATGGTATGGCATGCTGTCTTAGGCACCTCATTATGACATGTAGGTTGCTCCTTCCCCCCCTTTCCCCTCACTGGCGCTGCCGCTGTGTCACCGAATATATTGTTATGTGCAATAGATTCAGTTACTTGCTAGTGTAGGTGTTGCAGGGTTATTCGAAGTACTGTAGAAGTTGGGTTTGGTGCGTGGGTAGTGACGCGAAGTTGGTGACCCAGAGACTAGAGAGGCGCAGGGTGGGACAAATTCAAAGGAAATTGAGCCCTGGACAATCTGAAGGGCCAATCCTAAAGTGTAGCGGGCTGAACCCAATGTTACTTACGAGAAACTGCGCAGCATGGGTTAGGGATTCAAATAGACTAGGAACTCACTGCTTAGTTCGTTCTCTCGTTTGTTTACCTACTATAGTGGATACATGTTGCCGTTCTAAGCTACTACAGCCAGGTGACAAGGCCACTCAAGGTAGCCACCATTTGGGAGCCAGAATCTCTCACAAACGAGAGAAAAGCATTGGCAGTATGGTCTGCCACGAGCTGCGCTGGCAGCAGATGTACTCGCGTCGGGAATTTCCGTCGTCGCGGAGGATGTGCTCACTGGAGCGTGGGAGATCGCCGATGCGTTCGCCACAAAGGGCGGCGTACCGCGTGGATCGGTTAACGCCCGTGGGCATGTGATGTGAAGGAGGCGGGCCTGATCTGCACGTCAGATCGGGGCCCAGGCCGCAGGCATCGAGCAGTGATCTGTGGGATCTGGCAAGAGGCCAGCACGGAACGGATGAAACGCGTCGCGACGACGACATGGATCTGGACTCGCCGGGATCGATGAGCGAGGATAATGACCAGGAAGGTCTTGAAGAGGTCCCGATTGCGTGGGTTGGCTGAAGGGGAGCTGTAGACGTGGATGCTGAAGATTCGCGGAGCCAAAGTGAAGAAGAACGTGAAGAGCGCGTGGTGAAGGGAGCAAATCGCTCTGCGGATGAGGTGCGCAGGAGAGGCGCGAGGTGCCGCGGGAGCACGGGGGCAGATCGCTTGCTAGGAGGGTTGTGCGGAAGTAACGCAAGGCGCGGTGGAGGAAAGGAGGCAGAGCGCGTGCCAGAAGCCCGCTGTGAAGAAGAGAGGAGGCGTGACGCGCAGGCAGGAGTGTATGGCTCGCCTGAGCCAAGACGCGGACATGAGCGCAAGAGGCGCATGGCGTTGTGCGGATGGCGATCACCAGAGCAGCAGGGAGAGGAAGGGGAAGACGATCGCGACAAGAGGCGCGCACAGCGCTCGCCAGCACGGCAGCGGAAGGAGGAGAGAGAAGTGCATGTCAGGGGCAGTGAGCGTTCGTCGCAGTACATCTCGAGGGCAGATGCGAGAGCGCGCCGTGAAGAAAGAAAATTGTACCCGTGCGCGGGAGCAGGGTTTGTGCAGGAACCTGATGGAGAGGTAAGGGGGAGGCAAGAGAGAGAGAGACAAAGGAGAAGTGGTGAGGAAGAGCACCACCGGCGAGAGGAGTCCCCAGTGGAGGACACGGGAAGTGACAAGGAAAGGAGAAGAGAGGATCATGGGCGCCGAGGAGCGGGCGGACGAGGGAGACATTGTGAAGAAGATTCCCCTGGGAGGAAGGAGGGGAGGGAGGAGATGAGAAGCAGCGATGAGGAGCAGCGCAGAAGAGGGGAGAGGTCGCCAAAAGGGGAGATAGAGAAGGAGAAGCTGAAAAGGAGAGTTGACGAGCAGCACGAGCGATGGGAGAGATCGCCAGAGAGGGAGATAGAGAGTGAAGGAGAAGAGGTCGGAGACGCTCAGACACGGCACCAAGACGGTAAGCATGAGAGATGGGGGGAAGGGTCCTCTGCGAGAAGGAGGGAGAAAAGGGAAAAGGAGGAGAGGAAGAGGAGCCTGAGCCCAGAATGGCACGGGAGGCAGTCAACGGCATGGGAGGGATCAGGGGGAGTAAGGGCGGCCAGAGAAGGCATTGACCGCGTGCTGTATGGGACAAGGAAAAGAGACAGGGAGACAAGGAAGGTACCTGAAGAGGGGTACAAGGGAAGGCAAGAGGGACGTGGGGAACCTGATTTGGAGGTGAGGGAGAAGCAGGACGACCGGGGGCAGAGAAGGAGAGGTGAGAAGCAGAGTAGGCGACGGGAGATGATGCCTGAGCATGATATGGAGAGCAAGGAAGAAGGAGAATATGACAGACCTGTACGCCACGGATCGGGCCGAAGGGAGGGGCGCTGGGAAGAATATTCCTCTGAAAAGAGGGAGAGACCAGGGTGGGGATCAGAGAGGCATAGGAAAGCTCGTGGGAGAGATCGGGGAAGGATCCCACGTCCGATATGGCAGAGAAGGCCGGAGCAGTCATGGGCAGGCTCTGAGGGAGCAAGGGCAGCCAAGGAAGGAATCGATTGAGTGCTGTATGTTGGTGCAACCCAACGGTTTGCATTTGGCTTGTTGTCCGTGTGTGTGCATGCGTGTGTGCATGGAATGGTACGAGGGCATGAGATAATATATATTTCATGCTTACAATAGTGTGTGAATGAGGCATGATTTTGAATGTGTGTGTTGAGTCAATAGTGAGTTATCGCTAGTCGCGTGTCACGTCGTCGTTTGCGTGTCGTGTGCGGTTTTCTATTTTGTCGTGTGTGGAACGTTCAGCGTGTCTCAGGTGTGCGCAGCAGACTTCCAAGAATTCAAGGAAGAATTTATCTTGAAGAACCAGAGCCTTGGTTTCAAGATTCAAGTGATTTCGAAGCTCTCCAAAAGGGTAAACTTTAAGATAGTGAGAATAGTTACATTACTTTGTGTAGTGCAACATTTCTCTTGGTGTAGGCCCTTGTGAAGGGTAGTTTCGAGACCCTTCGTGGTTGGGGACAGTGTGGCACTGTTCCACATAACTGTACCTCGGCTCTTGGGGTTTGTAGGAGCTGGGAGTCATTCCCAACTCGTAACTCTTCCTAATTTGTGTTCTAAGTCTATAGTGGCTGCCATAGTGCCGTTCGTTCAAACCGACGTTGCGTCATCAATACTCGATGAAATCGTGTGATGTAAATTGACTATTGTAGGCGACATCAAGACGCTCCAAATCCAATTTATAGCAAGTCATTGGAAGCTCCGAGCAGAACGTTATCAACGTTTGAAGCCGCAGTGCAGAAATCCGACTGTGCACTCTATCTTTCATTTTAGGCACAGTCAAGCCTATTGTGACTATAACAAGTGGTATCAGAGCCCCTTGAAGCAGTTTCGACAATGGCTGGACCTTAGGAAAGGGGTGGCAGAGGTGATGGTGGCAGTGGAGAAGCCCAAGCTCAAGGCCAACCCCGTGATCCCACCATGTCTCCCATGCAACCAAGTCTTGGCCCACCTAGGGATGAGCCTAGGGTGTTTGGGCTTGACAAGTTCAACGGTGAAAACTTCGCTGAATGGTCCTTCAAGATGGAGAACATCTTTGACCACTATGACCTGCTGGAGGTGATGGAAGGAACGGAGAAGCGCCCCGAGAACGACCCGGAGAAGAGCCCGTGGGTGCGGAAGAGCGCACAAGGCTATCTCCTACTTGGGCAAGCGTTGGGGAGCAGCCAGATCCGTCACATCAAGCCATTCCAATGTGAACCAGAGAAGGGACCAAAGACATGGGCTGCTCTCAAGGGTGTACACGCTCCTGCAACAGCGGTGGTGTTGGAATGACAAGTGGCGGCACTACGAATTGAAGAAGACGAAGCGGTTGAAGAAGGGGTGCAGAAATTCTTCGACTTGTTGACGCGGCTTGAGGGAGCTGATTTGAACTATAGTGAGCTCCAAAAGAAGACCAAGTTGCTGGCCTTACTTCCAGAGTCATGGTCCTCGCTCATCATCAACTTCAATCGTGACTTGCCCCGCCTCTCGCTTGAAGACGTGAAGCGAGCGATCCTTCAAGAGGATTTCCGCCGCCGTGAGTTGGCGGGTTCGGATGGCGCCGGGGCAGCCAGCATCGGCTGGGGATATGGTCGTGGAAGAGGCAGACGACAAGGAGGAGGAAGGTTTGGAGGCAGCAACTACAATGGAGGCCGCGGAAGTGGCAGCTATGGCAATGACAACAAGAACTATGGACGCGGTCGCGGACGGTTCGACGGCGAGTGTCATTTTTGCCACAAGAGCGGACACATGTGGCGTGATTGCAACAAACTCCCTGATGGATGGACTCCTGCTCAAGGCCAAGAGGGTAGAGGAGCAGGGGGAGGGAGAGGAAGAGGCCGTGGAGGCCGTGGTGGTTACGGAGGTGGCGCCGCAAATATGAAGAACGGTGACAACGAGAGCGAGTCAAGGGACGATCGCTTTCCTGGTCAATTCTTCTTCGTGTCGACGCAAGCACCGGCTGCACCAGAGAAGGATGAAAGCTTTGAGGAGCCTGCTGCTGTGGGGAAGGTGACCCTACACTCCCTGGACTATTGGGTGATCGATAGTGGCGCTACCTATAGCATGACACCTCGTGCGGACTTGCTCACCGAACTTGAACCGTCACCGGTGAAGCATGTCACATCGGCTTTGGGGCAGCGAGCAGAGGTGAAAGGCATGGGCAAGGCCATGTTCAAGGGTGCTGATGGGAAGATGGTGGGCCTCAAGAACGTGCTTTGGGTGCCCAACCTTGCTGCGAACCTGATTTCCGTGCGGCGGTTGCAAAAGGCCGGCATGGACACGAGCTCGAAGGGAGCCAAGACCTACACCGCAAGGATTGGCCAGCGGGTTCTTTGGGACCTTCATGAGGGTAGGGATGTCTACAATGAGATGTGGCAGATCCCTGTGGTCCCTATGCCTAAAGAGAGGCAAGTGGCAGCAAGCGTCAGCACCAAGGGTGAAGCGGTTGGTAGCGGCTACGGCGCGAACGATGGCGCCAAGGCGAAAGAGTCCAACAAGTGCAAACCTGAAGGGACCAGCAAGCACTGTGAGCTTGAGGAGGGTGGCAAGCAGCACAAGGGTGAGGAGAACCCCAAGGCAGCAGCGGAGGAGGAGTACAGAGAGAGCATGTGGGGCACTATTGCGAGTGCGGCATTCTCCAATCCCACTTCGGCTACGGGGGAGTGTGATTGGCTCACCTTGCATCGGCGAATGGGGCATGTGGCCCTGCCCATCTTGCAGCAGCTGGTGAAGAATGAGATGTTTGCTGGCATACGTGTGAAGGGGGAGCCAGATGAGGTACTTGGCTGCCCGACGTGCACGCAAGCCAAGTTCACCCGTTTCCCGTTCTCAAGTTCGGAGGCAACGGCTAAGGCACCACCTGATGATGGACGTGGTGGGCCCCCTGAAGCTTGGAGCTGCTGGAGCTGAGTACTTTCTCACCATAGTGGACGTCTACACTCGCATGACTTGGGTGTACGTGCTGTCCAAGAAGAGCGACGTGGCTGAAACGGTGAAGACCGATTGGTTGCCGATGGTGGAGCGGCAACAAGACCGGCTAGTGAAGGCAATTCACACTGATCGAGGGGGAGAGTTCCTGAGCAAGGAGTTCTCATTGTGGCTGAAGAAGAATAGCATAAGGCACTCCCTTAACATGCCATACTCCCCTGCAATGAACGGCATCGCCGAGCGAGCGAACCGGACAATCATGGAGACGGCGCGTGGGTTGCTCATTGAGGCCGGGCTACCCGACTATTTCTGGCCTGATGCAGTGCGGAGCGCGTGTGTGGCCAAGAACAGAGCTTTGACTCATGTGGTAGCAGACAAATGGGTGCCCTATGTGGAATGGATTGGAAGGAAGCCAATGGTGGATATGCTTCGGGTGTTCGGGTGCATGTGCATGGCGCTCGTACCTAAGCATCTTCGACACAACAAGCTCGGTGCCAAGGCGATATGGGCTGTGCACTTGGGCATGGCTCAAAACAGAAAGGGGTGGCTTCTTTGGGACCCATTCACCAAGAAAATTTTAGTGAGCAGGGACTGCAAATTCATGGAGAACCTGATGTATATGGATTGGAAGACGGAGAATGAGGCGAAGATAGGCGTGCGGTTTGGGGAGGTGAAGAGTTCCGGTTTGGAGAATGTGGAGCTGCCCTTGGAGCTGAGCAGCGGCAGCACCACCACAAGGCAATCTTCCCTTGTGAATGGGGGAGAGGAGGCCAAGGATGCAGAGGAAGAAGAGGAGGAGGTGCAGCAAGTGAGCGAGCGTGCACCGACACTTCCTTCTCGCACTACGAGTGCTCCACGGATTCGCGTCACCCCGCAACAACGCCATGAGAGCCTTCATGTCCCTGTAGCCGATGAGGATGGAAGGGGCAAAAGGAGAATCCAAGCCCCTAATAGGCTGACCTATGATGCGCTGGGAAAGCCAGCCAAGTCAGCCTTGGCCGGAGCGGCAATGATGGTTGGAGATGACGAGGAAAGTGAGTACGCGGAGTTTGCTTTCGCGTTCTTCTCTCCGGTGGAGATGCCGGGGGAACTAGCAACTCTCAAGGAGGCCTTGGAGAGTAGTGATGCTGAGGAGTGGAAGAAGGCAATGGAGAGTGAGCTGAAGGGCATTGAGGAGAACGGCACGTGGGAATTGGTGGAGCTACCAGAGGGGCGTAAGGCGATTACGTCCAAGTGGCTCTTCAAGATCAAGTCCGACGCCGACGGCAAAATCGAGCGCTACAAGTCTAGGCTTGTGGCCAAGGGGTACCAGCAGGATAAGGTGGACTATAAGGAGTTGTTTGCTCCTGTGGTGAAGACAACGACGCTGAGAACCCTACTCGCGGGAGCTACCATCAAAGGATGGGTGGTGAAACAAATGGACGTGACAACCGCATTCCTCAAGGCATTCTCGAAGAAGAGATTTTCATGGCGCAGCCAGAGGGGTTTGATGATGGTAGTGGCAGAGTTTTGAAGCTGAAGAAGGCCCTTTATGGACTGAAGCAGGCCCCTAGGCAGTGGTACTTGAAGCTGCGAGGAGTTTTGGAGGAGATCGGCTTCACTCCCTCAACGGCCGATCACTCATTGTTCATGCTTGGCGAGGGGGAGTAGAGGAGCTTCATGGTGGTGTATGTGGATAACATCCTCATCTTCTCTTCCTCCTCTGACCTTGTGAAGGAGGTGATGCTGAAGCTTCAAGACAAGTTCAAGTGTAAGGCCCTTGGTGACGTCAAGTTCTACCTCGGGCTTCACATTGAACGAGATGTGGAGAAGCGGTGCATTCGGGTGCATCAACGGAAGTACTTGGAGGCATTGGTTGCCAACTTTGGGCAGAGTGAAGCCCATGTGGCTACACCCTTTCCCTCTGAGTTCAAGTGTGTGAAGGGACCAGAGAAGGAGAGCGTTGGTGAAGAGGAGAGGCGCCGTTTTCACTCGTTGGTGGGCAGCCTCATGTATGCGGCGGAAAACACCTGACCGGACATTGCGTTTGCTACCGGACAGTTGGCTATGGTTTTTCAATGCCCTAATGAGGAGCAGGAAGCAGCTGGAATGAGGGTGGCCAAGTATCTTGGCCAAATTCGGCGGCCAATATTCGGCCGTTGGGCTGCAATATTTGGCGGCGGCGCAAAGGCGCCAAAAGGGCGCGGATGGTGTTGTACCCGGGCGTTTGTTCCTCACCGCATTCTCGGATGCTTCTTATGCATCAGAACCAGAGGACATGACAAGTGTTGGAGAATTCTTTTGCTGTGTTGGTGGAGGCCCAACTGCTTGGGAGAGCAAGAAGCAGGTGGATCAAGCATTGAGCTCGGTGGAGTCCGAGTACATGGCACTCTTCCGTGCCGTACGGGAGATTGTGTGGCAGCGGCGTTTGTTGGCTGAATTGGGGGAGGAGCAGCAAGGACCTACCCCACTCTACTGTGACAGCCAAGGTGCCATTGCTCTTGCTAAGAACCTTGTGTTGCATGGCCTCACGAAGCACATGAGGGTGAAATGGCATTGGACAAGGAGCATGGTGGCCGCGGGTGAAGTTGAGTTGCGCTACGTGAAGACGACGGGGCAGCCAGCTGACATGATGACCAAAAGGCTGGTTGAGCAGCAGCATTGGAAGTGTTGCAAGCTGGATGGGATGGCTCTGAACTGAGAGAGCAAGATCCTAAGTCCAACAATCCGAGAGGGAGTTTGTTGGTGCAACCCTATGGTTTGCATTCGGCTTGTTGTCCGTGTGCGTGCATGCGTGTGTGCATGGAATGGTATGACGGCATGAGATAATATATATTTCATGCTTAAAATAGTGTGTGAATGATGAGACATGATTTTGAATGTGTGTGTCGAGTCAATAGCGAGTTATCGCTAGTCGCGTGTCACGTCGTCGTTTGCGTGTCGTGTGCGGTTTTCTATTTTGTCGTGTGTGGAACGTTCGGCGTGTCGCAGGTGTGGCAGCAGAATTCCAAGAACTCAAGGAAGAATTTATCTTGAAGAACCATAGCCATGGTTTCAAGATTCATGTGATTTCGAAGCTCTCCAAAAGGGTAAACTTCAAGATAGTGAGAATAGTTATATTATAATGTGTAGTGTAACATTTCTCTTGGTGTAGGCCCTTGTGGAGGGTAGTTTCAAGACCCTTCATGGTTGGGGGCAGTGTTGCACTGTTCCACATCTCTGTACCTCAGCTCTTGGGGTTTGTAGAGGCTGGGAGTCATTCCCAACTCATAACTCTTCCTAATTTGTGTTCTAAGACTATAGTGGCTGCCATAGTGCCATTCGTTCAAACCAACGTTGTGTCGTCCATTGGAAATGAAATCGTGCGATCTAAATTGCAATTGTAGGCGAGGTTAAGACGCTCCAGATCCAAGTTGAATCAGGTAATTTGCAGCTGTGACCAGAACGCTATGAGCGTTTAAAGCCGCTGTGTACATATCCGACTGTGCACTCTATCATTCGTTTTAGGCACATTCAAGCCTACTGTAACTATAACACTGTATGGGATAGAGTCAAGGAACATCGAGTCAAGAGAGAGGAGAGGAGAGAGTAGCAAAAGGAATAAGGAGATTTCCAGGACATGGGAGACGGGGAGGTGGATTATGCAGGCCCCACCCCGGGTGGAGGTGCAAGTGCGCTTTACGGGAATGAAGGGACAGGCACCAACCTTAAGAACTACTTGATGCAGGTCGGCAACGTTAAGTACCGATGCGATAGATGTGGGATGGATGCTATCGAGATATTTCTGAGCTTACCAAGCACCTTTGGGGGAGTAGCTGAGACGCTGTATCGTATGAAGATGCACGAGTGGCTGAGTAGAGCTGACGAAGATGGCGATGACCCCATGACGCTGTTTCTAGAGCGGCTGCGGAAGCAGTTCCCGGGGCACACAGCCGACCGTATCAGAGATTTCCAGGAATTCAAGCGCGGGAAAGCTGCTGACATACTTTGGTAGACTGGCCAAACTGGTGGAAGATGTGGTGTGTACGGACAGTAGCATGCTAATAAGAAAATTCCTGTGGGGATTCGACGAAGGGCTGGCTGGCCGGGGGATTGAATATGAAAGTCTACGAGTTAGGGGTTGAGGCTACGCTAGAGGAGGTGTTCGAATTGGCAGAGAGGGTGGAACTGGCACAGAGACGTTACGAAGCATACCTACCAAGGGCAGTAGAGAAGAAGCGACCTACCTGGGTCGCAGCAATGACACCTGAGGACGGGGACAAAGAGGAGCAGCGGCAAGAGAGACGGACAACCACACGGACGTGCCACAGGTGCGGGCAGCCAGGGCATATTCGGAGAGATTGCAAGAATTGTGATGTGTGCGGGAAGACTGGACACCGCCGGAAGGACTGCCCAAATGCACCAACTTGTGCGGTGTGTGACAGCAGGGGGCATGAGGCAAAGGAGTGCTATCAAAGGACAAGTGGACCAAAGAGATCACATGAGGAGATTAAGGACCATATTGAAAAGTTACAAGCCCAACTATAGGTGCTGGGAGGACGAACAGAGAGGGGGGCAGGGTTGTACGCGAGGGAAGAAGAGGAGGAGGAGGAAGAGGAGCAGGAGACAGAGTATTCCTGTGCGGTGCTGCGTAGCCATGAAGGCATGGGGCTGCACACTGGGGGCAGGGACGGACGAAGGGAGCAAGTAACTAAGGTGGGGGCATGGGCGTGTGTACCAGCAGCTCCAGAAGCGGAAGGGAAGGACAAGAAGGTGGGGGCACGGGCGTCAGTACTAAAAGCAGAGGAGCATGCGCAGGGAAGTAGGATGGCGGAGCAGCATGTGAGGAAGCTGCGGGAAGAACATCCGGAGTTGCTGGTAGAAGAAATGGTAAAGAAGCCATGAGAGGAACTGAGACGGGGGTGAGGGGCATAACAGCAGAGATGGCGTGCAACTGGAGGCAAGGGGACCTACGGGTAGCAGGATGGGAAGGTCCAGTGTGGGACAAGGCCCAGGAGCAGGAGGAAGCAGAGAGAGAGAGCAAGGAAGTGGGGGCGTGGGTGTGCCTGCCAGAGGGGGAAGAAGTAGAGCATACACTGGGAGATGTGATGAGTTGGGAAGGAAAAGTGGCCATGAAGACAGTGAGGTGGATTAAGGGAGAAACATGGGAAGATCAGCCGATGCAGCCAGTAACCAAGGTGCTGACAGAACCAGTAGGAAAGGAAGAGGCTGGGGACTTGGTGGAATGGGAGGGAGCCAAGGCAGTAGAATACCTGAAGGAGGTGATACTGGCAGCGGTGGAGGACCTGCGTACAGTGCAGTTGAGAGATGCACACATGCACGAGCAGCGGCTGAAGCAGGGCAGAAAAAACGACAGAGGCAGCAGTGGGAATGGGATAGGAAGCCTATCTGCGGAGGAGGAAGGATGCTCTGGAAGTGGCGCCGGACATGCAGAGATCAAAGACGAAGGATTTGAGGGGTTCGGAAGTGCTGGTGCTGAGGAATCAGAGACGATAACATACAGGGGACCATCCGACGAATGCTGCAGTGGTGAGAAGCAACCAGCCTCAGCAAGAGTGTCCAATGACATTTGCACGGGAGACGTGAGCACGAGCTCTAGAGGGGGCAGGTAATGGCTGAGGCAGTGCAGGTGAGGTATCACAGGAACAGAGCTTGGGAGAAGAAGGGAGGGAGGGTGAGTGCAGGAAGGAGAGGGCAAGCCATGGGATGCCACAGGAGAGGGGTTTCCGACAGCTGTCATAGAATATATTGTTATGTGCAATATATAGATTCAGTTACTTGCTAGTGTAGGTGTTGCAGGGTTATTCAAAGTACTATAGAAGTTGGGTTTGGAGCGTGGGTACTGACGCGAAGTTGGTGATCCAGGGACTAGCGAGGCGCAGGGTGGGACAAATTCAAAGGACAGCGAGCCCTGGACAATCTGAAGGGCCAATCCTGAAGCGTAGCGGGCTGAACCCAATGTTACTTACGAGAAACTGCGCGGCATGGGTTAGGGATTCAAATAGACTAGGAACTCACTGCTTAGTTCGTTCTCTCGTTTGTTTACCTACTATAGTGGATGCATGTTGCCGTTCTAAGCTACTACAGCCAGGTGACGAGGCCACTCAAGGTAGCCACCGTGTGGGAGCCAGAATCTCTCAGGTAATGGCTGAGGCAGAGAAGGTAAGGTATCACAGAAACAGAGCTTGGGAGAAGAAGGGAGGGAGGGTGAGTGCAAGAAGGAGAGGGAAAGCCATGGGATGCCACAGAAGAGGGTTTTCCGACAGCTGCCCTTCCTAATGCTGCTGCCCTTCCATCTGGGGAGGTGAGGCACCAACGATGCTGGCCTCAATGAGAGTTGTGAGACCACGTGAGATGATGTGAGAAGTCTTCCTTTTCTTGGCGCCTCAAGAAATGGATTGATTCTAGGTTAGAGGCCTCATTGGGAGATTTGGGACAATGTGAAACGATGTGGGACATAGCTTGGGGGCTGCGTATAAGACACGCGTGGAGTGGAGGCGAGTCATCGCATGATCCACATTGTTATAGGCGCATCAAGCAGTACCCATGTCACAGGGTTGCGAGGGGGGTGCGTGGTTTGGATGAGATAGAATGTGAAGTGGTTGTGTACGGTACTGTACTGTATTGTACTGTGCGGTAATGTACTGTATTATACTATGTACTGTACTGTGCGGTACTGAACTGTACTGTAGTGGGCTGGGTGGGAAACTATCCTAACACCATCTCCCGCTGCTCCTCCTTCTGTTCCTTCTACTCCTCCTCCTCCTGCTGCCTCCGCGTCTGCTGCTCTTCCTCCTCCTGGCGGGTCTGCTTGTGCTGGCTGCTTCACAATGATGCTTGTGCTGTGTGCAGTCGTTTGGAGAGAAGGAAGAGGAGGAGGAGGAGGAGGAGGAGGAGGAGGATGAGGAGGAGGAGGAGGAGGAGGAGGAGGAGGAGGAGGAGGAGGAGGAGGAGGAGGAGGAAGAGGAGAAGGAGGAGGAAGAGGAGGATGAGGAAGAAATCGTACTGACAGATGAGGATACAGGGGATGGTACATACGAGGGTGATGGAAGTTTCCTCTTATTGCAGGAAGAGAAAGGGAAGACGAAACGGAGCAAGGTACGGAAAGGGGTAGGCCGTAGGTGGTAGAAGGTATTTGCTAATGGTAGGTTGCAGAGGTCCCATAAACTGTTCTCACTTGTTCTCTCTTTGCCCATCTCCCTGCAGCCTCAGATGCGGGCCTTGTCAGCAGCATCAGTTCCCTGCTGTAGCTGCTGTATCTGCTGCTGGTTTTGGTGCATGGCTCGGGCTTGAGTTAGTGCCGTCAGCACTGCTGCCTCCCCACCCTGCGCTCTAAGCACTGCTATGATCTGAGGGTGGTTGGGCAGAGGATGGGAGGCAGGGAGGCAGGACTCTGTTTTTGAGGCACCTCGAAAACACATTGTTGCTAGCACTGCTGCCTTCCCGCCCTGCTCCTTCAGCAATGCTATGATCTGAGGGGGGTGGGCAGATGGGAAGGGGGAAGAAAGTGGAGGAAGGTTTTACTTTAAAAGAAGGAAGAAATGTACTTAGCAAAAAGAAAGGCCTACACCTGGTAATGGTGAAGGGGAGGGCGACGATGCAAATGGCGCTCCGATCACGCGTAATTTTTATGAGCAGTAAAACCATTAATAATTTCCAAGAATAACAATTATTATTTCCAATAGTAACAGGGGAGGAGGAGCAGCAGGGGGGCTGCATTTCAGCTGCGATGAACCAACCCAATGAGAGGACCCCGCTATTGCTCCCTTGTGTATGTCATGTCCCTCTCTATTGTCCCTCTCTGATGCCTCTCTCTGCTCTCTCGCGTATGCCTCGCCTCGTCTCACTTCGCCACACCTTTTCTTTCAGCTGCGATGGCAGAGGCACCAACCCAATCATCATTTCCCCGGGTGTCTGGACCCCGATAGCGCTCCCTTGTGTATGAAATGTCCCTCGCAGTATCTTCTTAGTCTCCCTCACTGCTGCCTCCGTGGGCACACGGTTCCAACACTGTCAACCCATCCCCTTCCCCGTGCCCCCTCCCTCTTCCATTTATTACTATCTATGCAACATCTCTCCCCTACTCCTCCCCCGCTTTGCACTCATGACGACTATGATCTCTGTGCGTCATGCTTCGCCACCATGGGCACACCGGGCGAGTTGTCTCAACGCTTTCACTCCATTCCCTTCCGCTTGTTCTCTTCCTCCCCCATTTACCATCTCCCCAATCTCTCCTCCTACCCCTCCACTTCCCCCAGTCGTGACGACTACGATCTCTGTGCATTGATTCGCCACCATGGGCACGTCGGGCGAGTACCAGGGTCTCGACTCCGGCCCTTCCTTTGGTGCCGCAGCTGCTAGGGGGGAGGAGGATTCTCTGCCTGTGCCATCAGCCCAGCAGGTGAGAACACCATTGCTGCCGCTTTGACTCTGTCCGGCCCGTCCTTTGGAGCTGCAGCGGCTGTGGAAGAGGAGAAGTCTTTACCTATTCCATGAACGTAGCAGGTGAGAGAATCGGTGCTGCCGCTTTCACTCAAGCCATTGCTTTCGTGCAATGGTGCTGCAGCAGCTGTGAGTGAAGTTGCCTCTCTGACTCTTGTGCCAACGCAACAGGTGAGAGTATGGGTACTACAACTCTCACTCACTCTGGCCCTTGTTTTGGTCCAGCGGCAAGCATGCAGTCAATCTCAATTCCATTTCCCTCTGCTTATTGGCTATTCCCCTCGCTCGCTTTGGTCTTTTTGAAATTCTTGAATACGACCTAAGTCCTTCTTTTTGCGTGTTCCATTCTATTCTGTCCTCTCCCACCCACCCCAGCGCCCCCACAAAGTGGACGTCACGAAGCGTTACACGGAGACGCACTACTTCAGATATTCTGATCCCCTCTTCTGTTCTGCTGTTTCCCTGCTCAAATCACTTGTCCCCCCCTTTTTTTTCTCTACACCCACTGCACCACCCCCACAAGGTGGACGTCACTAAGTGCTACGCCGAGACGCACTACTTCAAGTGCGCACTCAGCGAGAAGACACCGGACCTCATCCCATCCTCTCCTTTCTGGTTCAACCTCATGCGCCATATCCTCGCTTCTGCCTCGCTTCTGCCGAAGCTGCTGCCAAAGATGCCACCGAACCTGCTTCCGAACCTGCTGCCGGACCTGCTGCAAAGCCTGCTGCCGAACCTGCTGTGGCAGCAGCCACAAGCACCTCCTTGCTTGGGTCGCTCTGCTCCTTTGCTCTCTCCCTCCCTCCCTTCGTCCCTGCATCATTGCATGATGTGGGTGCCACCTCCACTGCCGCTCTCTCTGCACTTTCCATTCTTGGCCTCAGATTTGGCGGCAAGATTAGGCAACGAGGTGCTTGTAACGAGGTGGCTAATAACGAGGAAATTGAGGGGAGAGTGGGCAGGGGAGGCAGGTCTGCTGGTGCAGTGGAGGGGGAGGAGCATGGGTTTTCGTTTAGAGGCACGTCGGTTACAATCACACCAGCATCACCCATGGTGGTGTACAAGCAGGAGTTGTGTGAGGTGGGGAGTGGTGCAGTAGCAACAACATCAACTGCACCAACAACAACTTCAGCAGCAACAACAGCAGAAAAAATTCTGCCTCCACTCCCTCTCCTCCCCTCCCTTGCTCCAGACACCCCCTCCATCCTCCTCTCTCAGTCCATCCACACACTCCTCGCCCCTCCCTCCACCTCCCCTTTCACCCCACGCTCCTCCTCCCTCCTCTCCTCCTCCCCCCCTCTCCCCCTCTTCCAATCCTCCCTCTACACCACCCCATCAATCCACCCCTCCTCACTCCCCTCCACACCTCCTCACTCCCCTCCACCCCTCCCTACCGCACCAGCATCTGTTACCTCCTTCAAAAAGTCGTGGTTAATCTCCAGTACACCCCGCTCTTGCCACTGTTCCTAATATTCCAAGTTTCCGAGGGATCCGTGCCTATTTCCTCTTTTGGCCGCCCCACCCAGCGCCTGCGCCTGCCGCAGCTGCAGCCCTTCCAGAAGCGGTTTTTCACTGTTCTCTTCTACTTCCCCTTTCCTGGAAGCTTCTCCCTCTTCCCTGTGCACTTGATGCCTGAAGCTGGGCCAGGAGGAAACGGAGGGGGAGGCGGAGGGGAAGGGGCAGGAACAGGGGAGGGGCTAGGGAGGAGGGCGAAGAGAACGTTGGGGTGGTGGCGGTGGCAGCAGGGGTACCATAATCAATCCCCGTCCTCTCCTCATCCGAGTACGAGCATATGGAGAGGGAGAGGCACGAAGCCCTTCTTCAGCAACACCTGCAGGCAGAATTGGCACAATTAGCAGCAGAGGAGGCAACGCAAAGAGCAGAGCTCTGGGAAGTAATCTGCCTCTCAGGCAGCGAGCCTGAAATCCTCTGCATGCTCCAAGGCCCCTCCCTCCACTCCATCAAACTCGCCCTCCTCCTCCCCCTCATGCCCCACGCGCCCCTCTACCACTCGGTCACCTCCCTCCTCAGCTGCCGAAAGCTCTTCTATCCGTCCATATGGCAATACTCTCTTTTGCACAAGGACCCTCGGGGAATGTCGGAGTACTTGGCATATGATCCAGCCTTCCTTGCTTGGCTCTCTTGCCCTGTTCTTCTTTCCTCTCTGTTGCATATCGAGCCGGGTGCAGCAGGGGCGAGGCTGTCACTTCGGTACCGGCTGAATGGGAGCTCAGGTGTGCTAGGCTCAAGGCTAGGTTTGGGGATAGATTCGGGGCTAGGTCCAGTGTACGAGCATGAGGAGTTCATGCCTCTGCTGAACCCCCAGGCGCACAGGTTCGGAATGAGTGGTTCGGAGAGGGAGAGGAGGAGAGGGAAGAGGATCGTGGGCGAAAGCGAGGGAGAGGGGAAAGAGGGGAGAGAGGGGATGCGGAGGGAGCGTGGGAGGAGGAACGGGGGGTGAACGACATATGGAACGAGCAGCTATTGGAGCATTACGCTAGGTTCTTGGAGCTGTGTGCGAGGAGGAAGGGCGGGATGAGCGCCCAGGAGTGCCTGGCAGCGGCATACTACCTGTTGGTTCAAGACCGGGTCAAAGAGACCCACCTCATGTTCCTCCGGGCAGCCTCCGGAAAGATTTTCACCCTGCCCAACACGTTGCGGGCAGCGCTGTGCGGTGGGAACGGGAGTGCTGCTCCTGTTGCGGCTGGTGCTGAGACTCCTGCTGAAGCTTCTGCTAAGGGTGCTGAGGGTGGCGAGAATTCTGCTGCTTCTGGTGTTAATACCAATACCAGCAGCACAAGTACCAGCGCTGTCCCCTTTACTGACCTCCCCGCTACAGTGAATGTGCAGCTGGCAGCAGATTACATGGCCACTTTTCTCGACATTCTCCTCTGCCCGACCCACTGTCTGGCCATGGTCGCTCAGGCAGTTGCAAAAAAGTACCGCGCTGTCGACAGGAACGGCGACAGCAGTGGAGGAAGCTGCCCCGTGGTTTTCTGGAGAAATCGCTTTGCTGACCTGGGCAAGCAAATGTATGAAATTTGGATGGCTGCCCGAGCTGCCCGGGCTGCTGGGGCAGGGGGGCGTATCATTGCGCAGGGTGGTGCGGAGGGGCATGGATTGGCTGGGGTGGAAGGTCAGGCGCAGAGTGCTAAGGGGATAGGAGGAGGATGCGATGGAGGGGAGGAGGTTCGTGGGGGTGGAGATGCATGGGAGTGGGAGGAGGAGGATGACTGGGTGCTCACAGGTAGTCAGCCCATGGCAGGGGCAGTTGGAGGAGGAGGAACTGGAGAAGGGGGAGCAGGAGCAGCAGCAGGAGGAGCAGCAGTAGGAGGAGCATCAGCAGGAGGAGCAGCAGCCAGAGGAGCAGCAGCAGGAGGAGGAGGAGGAGCTGGAGGAGGAGGAGGATCAAGAGCAGTAGTTGAAAGCACTGCTGCTGCTGACGAGGACATTGCTGACGTGGCACAGCTGGCGGAGGCAGCAGAGGGGGACGGGACAGCAGTGGACCCGTTCTCCCTCAAGAGGAGCTTGGGACCCAAACCCTCCCAGGAGCCCTTCCTGGACGCCAAGCTGCTGCCCTGTGCTGCTGTTGCTGGCACAGCCGGCACTGAACTCGGTACAGTCACGCCGGGTACAGTCACAGCAGCGGCAGCGGTGGCGGCAGCAGCGGTGGTGAGTGTGCGGTATGCGAACGTGGAGAGCATCCACGTGGACGTGTTTGCGTTCGACGAGGAGACCTTCTTCTCCTCCTCGCCCTTCTCCCTGCTCTCAGGAGCAGCCGCAGCCGCTGGTGGTGCAGGGAGCAGTGCTAGTGTGAAGGGTGGTACGTGTGGTGGGGATGGGAGGGCAGGAGGAGAGGGAGGTAATGGGGTGGGTAGGCCCTCGTCCATATTTGTGGCTCCGAATTGGTCAACAGTGATCAGCACTGGCAGTGCCAGCTCAGTCACTGGTGGTGCGGGAGCAAGTGCAGGCAGCAGTGGCAGCGGCAGCAGTGGCAGCAGCGGCAGAAGTGACAGCAGCAACAGCAGCAGCAGTGGCAACGGGAGCAGCGGCAGCAGTGGCAGCGGCAGCAGGGGTAGCATGGTGGTGGTGCTGCCATCGGAGTTTGACTCAGAGGCAGTGCTCATCATCGTCAATGCAGGCACTCTCTCCACCACTCTCCTCAGGTGCCTGTTCACTTTTCTGCTACCCATTTGCCACCATCTTGGTGAGCATTCCGATCTCCGAGTGTGCTCTCCTCTTCTGGTATCTTGTGTTTTTCTCATCCACAATGCGTTTTCGCTGCAAAGTTTCAGTCGCATCCCATAAAGCCCATAAAATCTCCATTCTCTCTCTCCCTCTCGATCCCTCGCCACCCCTCACCCTACGGGCCGGTGCACGAGTCTCTTGTGGTAGAGGCAGTGGAGAGGTTGGGTCAGCTAAGAGTGCTTCGCCACATCCCCACACCCACGCCAGCACCTGCCGATGGCTCTCAAGGTAGCAGAAAAGCAAGAGATGCGACGGGCAGGTTGCAGTCATCTCAGGGAACCTTGGTGCCATTGCCCGGGGCATATGTGAAAGTTTTCTTCCACCTGAAGTCAACAGAGGTTTCTTACCATTTCAGGAGAGGTGCGGGGGAAGAGAGGGGTGGGGTGAAATTTTACAAGGATGGGTACACGAACAGACGTGGCTGATTTGACTATGTGTTTGTGAGCACAGAGGATGTAGAGAAGGTTGATATGTTTGCCGTACTTGTGACTAAAGAGGGGGTGGGCTCAATTGTGCGCCAAATAAAGCCTCCCAAGGTTTGATATGGATGGGTTTGGAAGAAAAAATATGCTGCTGCCAAAGTTTTGTGCATGTTGGTGGATTGTGGTACCTTATGTTACTTTTTGGAATGTGAATATTTAGTAGCTATATATATGCAAATGTTTTGCTTCCCTATCAGGCTCTATTGCATAAGGACCAAAATGCACGTTGCTTCCTGAGCATTCTTGCATTGGCCTGATTGCAGAATTTATGTTCACCATGTACGCATCATTGCCTTGTCATGATGCAATCAAGGTTAGAATCTCAGGGATTACTTTTGTGGAATTGTGTTGTGAAGCACTCCATTTTTTTTCATTGCTTCTACGGAGACTTATTACAATACGTTCTACCTACAACTTCGTTCAGCATGTATAGCAATTGGCTCATCAAGCCAAACTCGATTCACACGCCGCACAATGACTCGGTTTGAATCCGGCATCACAATTCGAGATTCACCACCCCACCCACTGACCCGGGCTCACACAACTTCACTATCCTGCAGTTCAGTGCGTATCGGTATGTTTCAAATCGCTCTGTTTATGAGTTAGAGCAGTGGTAAGGGAGCACAACATATAACGAGATGCAGCACATGCGTCGGGTACATCAACGGCTCTCCATCCTTCACCTTCCAAATGCAAATCTCAGTCAACGGTGTTGGTGAGGTGAGTGGTCTTTGGTGCTATGGATGCAATCGCAATCGATCGTATGCAGGAGCGTTTCCAGGTAAGGTTAGAGAAGGTTCTGAAGTTGTAGATGCAAGAAGCGGGATTACAGTGCGGTAGCTGATCCATATTGGATGATCGATCCTGCGATGTGACGCGTTCTGAGGTGAGGGTGTCAGTCAGTCGTCTGACCAATTCCCCTTCATTTGCTTGCGCCACCTCTGTTCTGACCAATTCACCTCTGTTCCTCTGTTCCGTTTTGCTCTTGTTGCTCAATTCCTTCTGCGCTCTTGTTCCTAAATCGAGTCAATGCACTCACTCGTCATCAGTAGCCCCTGTCCTGTCCCATGCCATCTCATTATTCGTGCCCTGTAACTTATCCATCACCTCCTTAGCTCAAGTTGGTTTGGAACGTTGCACTCCATCTCTCCTGGTTGTTGGCCGCTCGCTATCAGCTCAGTGGGTTGACAATTTCTGCACGAGGGGTAATTGGTGTCAGATTAGTGCTTATGAGGGGTTCTTTATGTCATATTCCAAGGTGTAGGCGCGACTCGACATATAAGCGGTTTGAATAATACGTATTCTCCGACCAGCCTCAGAAATTTGTTCCTCGCCACGCTGCAAGTTGCGAATCAAGTACCGCCTCGTGGCCGCTCAAGCTCCAACGTGGCTCGTTAGCTCCATCTGGATACGATGGCCCGTCGCGCACATCCACTACTATCAGCAACATTGTTACAACTTCTGCTATGGGTTACATTGTTACTGAGAAGATAACTCTATCAACGGGAGCTAGACTACGGGCTAGGCACGGGGTAGGAGGAGTCTCTGCGTTCGTTCCCTTAGTCGTTCTCTAGCACTTGTGCATTCACAGGGCAAAACCGCAAGAGTTTCACTAGCAAAAGTTTTTTGACAAAAAGAGAGGCAACTAGATTGGCAAAAAGTAGACTACATCAGAAGCCTAGCATACAATTCGACCACCAGCTCAGCACGAAGGCGACTTGCCAGCTGGTCGACCTCAGGCGTCCTCAGGCGTCCTTAGTCAACCTGCAAGGCTAGAGTGCCAGCATACCAACAATAGGCTACCACATGTACAAGGTGACGGTAACGTCATACACCGCCACGCACATTGCGCAGGTGCCAAGTCGACCACATGTCGACAGTTGCACCTGAGGAGTCCTGTTGACCACGTGCCACCGAACCGCAGGTCGACATTGCCAATCTACCTGGGAGATAGTTGCGAACCTCGCAGACCTCGTCGTCCAGGTAACCTGGTCAATCGGGCAACCATGTCTACCAGGTGCGTCATCCTAGGCCCATCGACTGCCCAGGTCGACGACCACCTCATGTCGACCACACCAGGTCGACCACTCCCCTAGTTGACCAACTCCAGGTCGACAACTCACCTGTCAGCCGACCACACCCTATCGGCTTCCCCTGGTCGGCGTCACCCAAGTCGACGCCCTCCACTAGTCGACCTCCCAAGTCGACCAGCCTAAGTTGGCGCCCTCCCAAAGTCGACGCCCTTGCAGTGGCCCTTGTGCAGGTCGACCAGGCCCGTCGACCAGCTTGCCCACTGTTGCAGGTCGGCTGCACTCCTCACACCCAACCCCGAGGTCGGCTCCGCCCAAGCGAGGACGGGGCCAACAACAACTCCCGTTGACACTCCCCTGCCGCGTTCACGCTTGGGCTCCCAGCCCAGACGGCAGCACAACTTGGAGAATAGCTCGTCGGCGTGCACCCAACACATAGCACGCCGGTAACCGCACCAGCCATGCAAGAGGGCATGGCACCTACTACTGCACATCGTTGTTACCGTCGCCCACGTCGACTAGGCACACCTGGCCGATTGCAACGGAGCACCGGTTGAAGGCCGGGTAGTGCAGCGCCTTCGTCAGGAAGTCGCCTGGCTGCTCAGCGATCGGGATGTATTTAGGTGAAAACTTCCCGCTCTTCACCATGTACTGCAGCCAGGCTTGTTGCCGCTCCATGTGCTTGAGGTTGCCTATCAACCCCATGCCCTCGGCGACTGTGATGGCCGACTTGTTCTCCACCCAAACGACAGTCGGCGTCCCGGCGTCCAGCTGCCATAATTCTGCAAGGAGGAAGCGAAGGCGACGTCCCTCCTTGCCGGCTTCGATTGCCGCCACGTACTCTGACTCGGTCGACGACAGCGTCGCGCACTTGATGCGCTGACTTTGTCAAAGTTACGAACCAGAATGAATGAACTATGAATGAGTTGGGTACAAGTGCTAACCCTAATTGGGTTGTACCCCTTATGGGCTACCCCACTATAGCCTACACAAATGTAAAATCTATAATGTTCTGACACACCCCCCATAGGCAAAGTGGGGGAGAACAAGTGGTCACAAGACCAATCAAGAGAAGCAAAGCAAGCTCAGGGTGGATCACAAAGTCACCACACAGTCCGAGGACAAGCAAAGGCCACAAGGCCAGTTCACATGCAGAGTTATATAAAGAGAACAAAATATACAGTGATCATTTCCTAGTAAGTGCAAGCATGCAGGTATATGTATATATATCACAGTACAAGCGAAGTCAAGTAGTAAGCAAGTGAGGCAAAGTAGGCACAAGGCCTAGCACAGTAGAGAAGCGCTGATGATCACCAGGCGGAAGTGCCTTGGTGAATATATCAGCAGTGTTGGCCCTAGTGGCCACATACGCAAGACGAAGCTGGCCACGCTGCTGCAACTCTCGAGCAAGGAAGTATCGCAGAGCGATGTGCTTCGTTCTGTGCTCCAATCATGGCCTTGTTGTCTACGTACAGAACTGGAGGCGAACGAGGCTGCTCTCCCAAGTCAGTCAGTAGGTAGGTGAGCCAGCGTAGCTCCTGTGCAGCCATGGCCCCGGCGTAGATCTCAGCCTCACAACTGGAGCTGAGAACCGAAAACGAGCAGGTAGACCGCCACGAAACAGAGCCGGAACCGAGGCTGAAAGAGTAACCCTGTCACGACCCCTGCGTAGCTGAGTCGTCAACCCAGGAAGCATTTGCGTGACCGGTGAGGACAACTGGACCCCGTCCTCCAAGCACTAGCCCCATGCCTGATGTACTGCACAAGTAGCACAGTACCCTCTTCGCAGCATCCCAGTGCACCTTTCGGTGCCTACCGGGAGCCACGTAGCGAGCCAGAAGGCTGAGAGGGTACGCGAGGTCAGGTCGTGTGCAAGTCATCAGGTACATGAGGCAACCCACAAGCTCTGCGTACGAACCACTTGGCTCTACGGACTCATCGAAAGGTGGAGCTGTGAGCGAGTGGCCGGTAGACAGAGGAGTGGGCTGTGGCGAGGAGAACTGGAAGCTAAAGCGCTGAAGGACCTGGTGCACCATGTGTGACTGAGTCAGGGTGATGGTGCGCCGTGCTTTGTCCCGACGGTGGACAGGCAGACTCAGACTCAGCAACAAGAGCAGTGGCGTAGTCTAGACGACAGGCAACAGCAAAATCAAGCAGCTCAGCAATAAGAGCAGACGCAGCAGCATACTCAAAGGAAGGGTCGGTGACAGCAGTAGCGAGGAGACGAGCGACAGTGGGATTGGCAGCACGAGCGCGGTCAGACTCAGGGTCAGGGGCCTTAGGAAGGGAGGACTCAGGAGGAGCAGGCAGAGGAACACGCAGTGGAACAGAGGAAGGACGGAGTGCCATAGCGTGCGTGCTGGGGACAGGAGGAGGATGCGAACGAGGAACGCGACGAGCAGTGCGAACAGGCGAGACAGGATGAGACGCAGGCTCACGACGCTATGTAAGACCGCCGGACTGCTTAGTGTAAGGAGAGGGAGCAGGCAGTGGAGAGGCCGGCTGCAACGGCAGCTGCGACTGGTTTGGCGGTGGACACAGGAGGGGAGGAGTAAGGCTAGTAGAAGACGGGACACCAAGAACCTGCTGAAGCAGGGGAACGAAGTACGGTCGTGGCCGCACACTGTCTCCAGCACCTCCAGCTCCAGGGTCAACAGCTCCAGCTCCTGCAGCTCCAGTGCCTCCAACTCCAGCGCCACCAGCGACAGTGCCTCAAGCTCAGCACCCCCAGAACCAGCACCCTCAGGCTCCGCACCCCCCAGCTCCGCACCTCCAGACGTAGCACCCCCAGACGCAGCACCTCGAGCAGCACCTGAGCCGACAGCTACCTGAACAGGCGCAGGACCAGGGAGAGGGTCTACCTGAGACACACCTC